TTTTGGTCTCAAAATTCAAAGTCACGGTACGTCACTGGATCTATGGAAATGATTTAGTTGTTCGATGATTTTGAAAGAACGCATTCTGGCCATTAAAAAATTAATAATTTTACAATTTATATATTTTTTATTTTGAATCATATAAAAACCGAACAGTGCCTGTATCTTCGTTGTGGAAAAAGCAAAATTATTAATCTTTACTAATCAATGGGATATACTATAACTGGCTTGATTGCCAATATATCTAGTAATTATACGTCGTAGTTTATGAATTCGACAGTGACTGAGACACTGGCATGTAAATTGGGAAAACCATCAATGGTCGAACGTATTGTTCACAGATGAGTCTAGGTTTTGCCTATATGGCACGATCATCGTATTCGAGTATACAGAAGGCCGGGCGAATGATTTGCGCAATGCTGTATACAACTAAAACATGCTTATGGTGGTGGGTCGGTTATGGTATGGGGCGGCATTAATATGGAAGCTCGAACAGAACTGGTGATCATTCAGAGAGGCCACTGCTCACAGGTACATTGTGGACATTTTGGAGCCTCAAGTGGTACCTTTTGCTCCCTTTATAGAGGACAATTTTCTCTTTATGCACGATAATGCCAGGCCACATATTGCCAGAGTTGTCTCAATTACTTGGAGCACAGTAAGAGGTGGTCCAAATTGAGACGATGGAATTTCCAGCGCATAGTCCAGGCCTCAATCCCATCGAACCTATCTGGGACATGATGGATAGGCATCTACGAGCTCCACCAAATCTACCCAACAATTTAAATGAGTTATCGCTAAGACTAGAGGAAGTATGGGACGCTATCGAGCAAGATGAAATCAGGAATGAGGTTTTCAGCATGTCCAGACGTTGCTACGCCGTAATCCGTGCCAGGGGAGGCAACACCCGTTATTAAACCGTGCATTCTGATTATTTTTTTGTAATGCTTTTGTACTGCGTTTTGCACATTATTCTTTGAACCACTGTATCTTCTTGTTTAGCTAGCTAATAAAATTTCTTTGAAATTTATTATTTTGCTAACGAGTTGTCTAACAAATACATAGTAATTTTACTTTTGAATTCGTTTTAGTTTTTCCAAAAAAATAAAAAAATCAAATTATGCGTTAATTTTGCTGGCGAGTGTAGTTATTAGACTGAAATCATATATTTGAAATGTTTTTGTGTCGCAAGTTTAACAGAAACTGTTTTATCATCATTTTTTCACAGCAAAATTTATGATTAATTTAAAAAAATAAAAATTTCCCAAATTTATTATTCCAGAGAACTATCTACTCAACGTGTTTATTTTTTGTCAGTAATGACATATATTTCCATTCTAAATATCTTGAGAATGGTTGCTCGTAGCGATTTTTACCAAGAGACACTTTTTACGTAAAAAGTCACGAAAATTTATATTTTTCCAGTCAATAGTTTTATACAGGTACGGACGAAAAGTTATTACTCTTCAAAACAGTTAAAAGACATGTAGGTAGCGCCCCCTACAAATAGGATTCATATTGACATCAAAATCAAATTTCTCATGTCAAAAAACTCCCAGACACCAATTTTCAGCTAAATATTAACGTTACTTCAGAAATTGTCTGGAAAAAAATCGAAATAAAAATGACATTTCTGCACCCTGTATCTCCGAAACTAAGCATTTTAGGACATACATTTATACGAACTTTTTCACTTATTGTTATCTGCAGTATATGCTGCCGAAGTTTCAGGAATAACCCTGTATATTTCTTACTTACTTGACAAGTTATTCCTGCAACAGCTCTAGCCTGGGTTTGTCTCATTTTTTCTGCTATTATAATCCAATATACATTAAGATCAACAAATGGAAAGAACTTGAAATGATTTCCACAGCTCTGTTTTCATGTTATTTATCATCTAAGTACGTTTAACCATGTCTGTATTCACTATAAAACTTTTTGCTTATTTTAAAACCGTAATTTTTGGCCGAAATATTGTCATAATAGTCGAAAAAGCGCGCTCTATTGCGACCAGCGCCCGAGACAAATCTCGGCCAAGAACTCACAGACTGGCTCTAATAGAGCCTTAAACAGAAGATTGACCAATTAGAAAAATTCGTGCAAATATATACGTGTATGTAGTGCCTAACGCATTAATAATTTGATTTGTTTTCTCCAACACGGTCATTGATAAATACGAGCAAGGCCTTATACGCGTGTTAAAAGACCTTTTAGAGAGATCTATTTTGCTTAAATTAAAAACGTAATCCATCTATAAATGATTTCTTTTTAATATCAAAATTGTCAGTTTTTTACAAACTAATATGTTATTCCAAATTCAAAAGTGCAAAACATCGCACAGAAATTTGCATTTTATACATTGAGGTATATTTAGTTGCATACATAATATTAGATTTTTAAAAATTACCGTTATTTGTCATTTCAGGGCAAATATCTTGACAAAGCTTGCTAATGTTATTCTGTTAATTGTTTGAATACTACCTTGTGTTCACAATCACAATTCATTTAAACCAAAAACTCGTAATTTAAATTAAAAAAATTAAGTTCCAGTTAGTCAGCCCGGCGCCGAATATGTCCGTTGTTGGCAACAATGAATTTAAAAATTGCGCCCTCGATTTCGTAACTAAAAGTTTATTGGTATCGAATATATTACACTTGTATGTAACATCGAAAAATAATTGTAGATGTTATAAAACTATATAAAAAATGATATGTATAACACATACCTATACCTACTTTCATATCTATTCATCAATTCAAATGTTAGACCGATTTTTGAAGTAATTTCGTGTGAATCAATTAGAACTCTCAACGGCAGGGATTTATACAGTTCGCAAACTCTAGTGCAGGACTAGGTTCTTCTGATAGACTATATCTTCATTTCCGAGAGGGGCAAATAGACGAAACTAAAATTTTGTCGCCTACCCAGTCCCACGGATCACGAGCCGCCACTGGAACATAAGTACTATTTTTTTTTCAAACGTTAAATAATATATTGTTTCGTTAGGAATAAAAATGACACTTTTTGTGGCGATGCTGTAGGTACGTTTGACATATTACAGGCGAGGTTTTTTAAACAATAAAAAATCAATAAAATCACGCAACTATTTTATCGATAGCGATTGCACTGTTCTCCAAGCTCGATCTGCTACCGTTTTAATTGATTTTTTCGTAAAAAATAGACGACGCGTCTTCTCAATAAAAATTCGATAAATTTACAAGTAGCCAATGTAATGAGTGGACGGAGTGTGTTTAGCGGTGACATACAAGTCAAGTCCACGTGGACTTTCTGCCGTTTGTATATAGGTAGCGATCTATAAAATATATTGCTGTTTATTCAAATGTGTCTTGTAGTAAATTGATCATAATCCAATATTGTGTCCGCATTGTTGAAATTCCTTTCATAGACACAGATCCAGTCCACGTAGGTATAATTTTCAGTTATTATTTTTGAAGTGAAACTTCTTTACGCGCGATGGGAGTAAAAATTCAAAGCCGTGACACGACATGACCTTGACCATACCTTGATGGACGAGCTAGCGAGAAAAAAATGTGGTAAGAATCGCGCAAACACCAAAAAGCATTTGATTTAAAGTTATGAAAAGCATTATAATACACTTGATACTGTACCTGCGTACCAATATCCTCTGGATGTATGCTAGGAAGTAAATTTTCATGCATATTTTCATAGTTAGGTTTAGGGGTAATATGGGGAATACCAACCAGCTAGGTAAAACTGACCAAACGATTTAATTTCAAATTGCGCGCCAACTGCAGTGTAATGCAACGCCGCGGATGGATGTACAGCCAGACTGTTGAGGACAAGTGCCGGTGACGCCGTAATTGAGCTATGTAAAATTTTGTCCGTTAAAAAGTATTTTCGCGTGAATTGTTATATCTGTTTTGAGTTTAAAAATAGGTAAGTACTCCGAAAATATGTGATATTTCCTCTATGTGTGAGGTTCAAGTTAACGTCTCCTTTCTGCTGCAATGGCTAAACTGGACGGGACCTACTTTGTTTACGCGGAATCCGAACCGCGGTCCTCGGCCATATCATGGTCAATGGCCTACCGACTTAGGAAGTGTCTAAATTAACTCTTACTCACGAGATATTCGATCTCATCCGGCCTCGAACCGGCGTGAATGAGCAGTGTGTATCAATAGATTTTACACTTTTCCCTTGGACAACAGCACGATGCAAAGTTTCGAACCGGTCACCCGTCCATCAACTAGCATCGCCTTACGTCGCTTAACTTCGGTGTTCTAATGGGAACCGGTGTTTCGACGTAGCTGGGCCGTTGCCCATGTTTCCTCTATATCTGTATGACATTTATTAGCTTGAGCATTTGTTATGCAGAAACCGCATGGAGACATAACATCATTTTTCTTATAATGCCGGTGGTGATTTATTTTTAAACGCATGCACTTTCGGGTAAAACCGACCGTCTTACCCGAGCTCGGTTGGTATTACCCGAAATTCATAATAATTATTTATCTTTTTTTTAGATGCTGTAAAAATGCCTTTCAAGTACAACAGAATAACAGACCGGGGTTCATGGTCTCTAGAAGATATGACTAGGGCAATAAACGCCGTAAAAACTAAATCTATGGGAATAAGAAAAGCATCTAGAACGTATCACGTACCTTATGGTACTTTTCAGGACCGTCTTAAAGGCAAAGTCAATCAAAATAATAAGAAATTGGGAAGGCATGCAGTTCTTAACCCTGCCCAAGAGGGCGAGTTGTGCAATCACATAATTAAAATGTCGAAGTTGTTTTATGGACTGTCGAGACTTCAAGTTAAAAAGATCGCTTTTCAATATGCGAGTGCCAACAATATCCCGAATAACTTTAACAAGGATAAAAAAATATGTGGTAATGACTGATACTATGGGTTTTTGAAAAGGCACCCTAACATATCTCTGAGAAAGCCAGAGAGCACGTCATTGAACAGGGTAAAAGGGTTCAACAAGAAAGAAGTAGACTTATTTTTCTCTAATATGTCTAAAGTGTTCGAAGACTATAATTTTCCTGCTAATCGTATTTACAATGCCGACGAAACCGGCATAACTCCTGTGCACATTCCTGGAAAAAATTTGGCGGTTAAAGGACAACGACAAGTTGGTGCCATTACAAGTGGAGAACGGGGAAAGTTGGTAACCGTCCTTTGTCCAGTAAGTGCTGCGGGAGAATATGTGCCCCCATGTTTATTTTTGGAAGGGCTGGAGTGAAATATGAGCTCACAAAAAATGGCCCAACAAATGCTTTTTGTAAAGTTTCAAAAAATGGCTCGATCAACGAAGACCTCTTTTTTGAATGGATTGAGCATTTTGTCAGGCATACTAAATGTTCAATCACGGACAAAGTGTTATTAATAATAGATAACCATAGCAGTCACTGTACACTAAAAGTGTACGATTTCTGCAAGAAGAATGGCATAACTATAGTGACCTTGCCACCTCACACATACCATCGCCTACAACCACTCGATGTTTGCTTTTTTGGACCATTAAAAACCGCGTACAATCGCGAGTGTGATTCCTTTCCTAAATCAAAAAACTGTCAAAGAATTGACCAGTCGGATATTGCCGAGCTGTTCAAAAAGGCCTACAACAAGACAGCGACTATTGAAAAAGATGTAAAAGGATTTGAGGCAACAGGGATTTTTCCATTTAACAGAGGTGTAATAAATGAGGAAGAATTTCTTATTACTGAAGAAACCATGACAGAGGGAGGGGAACCGCAAAGACAGGATAACAACAAAAACAAAGGGGATAGTGTAAAAAAAGACGTAGAAAATAAGGATAAAACAGCAAATAAATTGACAAAAATGATAAAAGATACTGTCAAAGGAAACATATCAAGCAAAGACTTGGTAGAAGCTGGTCCATCAGGAATTTCAGGACAAAAAACTGTCAATAAAATGTCGAACGATTTTGATACCGATAGCGAATCAGATGCTAGTGTAATTTCCTATACAGATCAGGATAGTGATAATGACTTAGAAAAAAGCGTGAGAGTGACTCTGTCATTTGAAGACATTCAGCCTACATCCCGGTTTTTAAGGAAGGGCAGGAAAACACATTCTCAATTATTTACCGTGACACCAAATAAAGAAGAATTAAAGAAAAAAGAAGACGCAAAAGTAAAAAAATGGAACTGGCGAAATCAAAAGGAACCAAACGAAAATTACTAAGAGATGATGAACCAAAGAAAATTAAGGACAAGCCAAATAGCAAGAAGAGGCATTTGGAAGAGGCCACGGACCCTTGCATCGTATGCGACGAATTCGGCAAAGACAATGAGTGGTGGGTGACCTGCCCCACTGAAGTGTATATTTGTAATTTTTGTCAACCATAAATCGCATACACAACTTTTATGTTATATGTTTAAAGTTACCATGCATCTTTGTTTCATTGATATTTTGTCAATAAGAGATATTTTTTAAAGATTTTGTTTGGTTTAAGTATGGTCGACATTACCCGAATAGGTAGGGCAATGCCGATCATTTTCGTTTTGTAATGTTTTTTAAATAAATATTTTATTTCGTTTAATATCTATGTTTTCGCCTTCTCTTAGTCTTCTATAATTATATTTTGTTAAATTTAGCACAAAATAAGTTTTAAATTCCAGCTAGTTTGACATATATTAATTATTTCCCTTAAGTGGTCGGTATTCCCCATATTTCCCCTATAGCTTCTGAATAACGGTCTAGGTAAAGCATTTAGCTCATTTGCTAGCTCAGAATTAAAATTTTAGAGTTAAACAACACTGAAAAAACAAATCTATCGGCCCAAGGGCGAACGCACTTGAACCAATTTCGCCATGCTCTTGATATATGCCAAATGCATGGTTCAATAATTGTATTGTAATTGCATGGTATTGGTAATTTCAAGAAGCATTTGGGATAAACGCTTTAGAATCGCTGGTTGCAAAGACTACAGCCTTATCTTGAAAGTATTGCGATTTGCATGACTTCATACCAAAATCTTCAAAGATCATTATCAAAACTCTGCGAATTTACGGCAGAAGCACTTCAACTTTTTTATGAAGTACTGCGAATTTGCGATAAAAGCACTTCGAATTTGTTATAAAACATTGCGAATTTGTGACAAAAGCACTTCGAATTTGTAAGAACATAGTGGAAATTTGCGACAAAATCATTGCGAATTTGTAACAAAGGCACTGTGGTTTTTGTAACTAAAGCCCTGGGAATTTGTAACAAAAATTCACCTTAACCCGAATCATACACGGTCGATTTTTCTTTCAAATATATTTGCAAATAAGTGTTATTTGAGTGTATGTGGCGATATTTATACCTAATTAAGTATACAACAATATCAGTTATTTGCAGCAAATATATTTGAATTAAAAATTTACCTTGTGTGGTTTGGGTTAGGGTAAATTTGAAAATAATACAAAATTTTGAAAATATTTTTATTGCTTATTTGGATGTATCTTTGTTTAACAAAAATAAAACTTTTTTTAAAGATAACTTATGCTAAAAATAAAAGAACATTTTAAGTTTGATATTTGAAATAAACTTCTTCTTCCTTCTTCATACTAGACGAATCGCCTGTTTGGTTTCGTCGTCTCTACCTGTTAGACTGAAAAGTTGTCGCTCCATCGTTTTCGTGCTAAGCTTCTGCGACCTAGCGGTGATTTGTCGCGTGCAACTCTCACTATCCTTCTGTTGTCCATTCTGCTGATATGCTCGTTCCATTCTTCCTTTCTGCTGAGTACCCACTCATTTACACTTTCCACCTTGCACGCTCTTCTTATGCTTTCATTTCTCTCCCTGTCCAGAAGCGTCTTTCCAGCTATTCTGCGTAGTACTCTCATTTCGGTTGTTTCTAGTAGTTGTTTAGTTTTCGCTGTATCAGGTCGAGTTTCGGCAGTGTATGTCATTATTGGTCGTACCGTTGCCTTGTAAATTCTCGCTTTAGTCTCCACCTCAATGTTTTTATTTCGCCATATTGTATCATTCAGGCATCCTGCTATTCTGGTTGCCTTCGTTGTCCGTTCTCGCAGCTCCGCTTCTACATCACCATATCCTGAGATGTCTATGCCTAAAATTAAACTTCATCTCTTGCTGAATAACATTGCCCTCGACTTCCAGTTTGCATCTTAGTGGTACTTTTGATGTCGTCATGCATTTAGTTTTCTGGGTCGATATTATCATATTAAGTGATTTGGCAGTGCAATTAAATCGATGTAATAAGCGCTGTAGATCGTTCTCATTTTCAGCTACCAATACGGCATCATCGGCATAGCATAGAATAGTAATTTCCCTTCAGTAAACGTACATTTCCTATTATTTCGTCCATAATGATGTTGAAAAGAAGAGGGCTCAGGGAGTCACCTTGTCGGATACCACAGCCTACATTTATTGGTTCGGTCAGGACCGCGTTAATTTTAGCTTGAATTTGGTTCGCTTCATATATGTTTTGTATGGTTTTAACGAGGTTGTGTGGGATTTGCCTATTGTAAAGAAGGCGTACAACGTCTCTTAGCTGCACACGGTCGAACGCTTTTTCTAAATCAATAAAACACATATACGCTGGTTTGTTATATTCGATTGATTTTTCTGTTATCTGTCTTATGACAAAAACCGCGTCTGTGCATGATCTGCCCGATCTGAAACCTTGCTGTTCATCTGCTAAGCATGTTAAGTCGTTTATTTTGGTTGTTATCACTTTTGTCGTAAGTTTTAGTGTGGTGCTTAGAAGATTTATGCCTCTATAGTTTGAGGGCAGCTTCTTATCTCCTCTTTTAAACATCAAGATAGTGGTGCTGGTTCGCCATTCATCGGGTATCCTGTGTTGGTAAAGAATTTTTTGAATCAGGGATGTTAGCTGCTGTATAGACTTTGGCCGCCATATTTAAGTAATTCGTTTGGGATATCATCTTGCCCTGGGCTCTTCCTATTCTTTAGCTTTCGAAGGGATGTAATTATATCGGCTGCCTCAATCTGTACGTTATCGTTGGTCATTATTTCGGGTGTATTTAGTTCAACCTCTATATCTTCTGATATGTATAGTTCTGACAAGTAATCAATCCAGGATTCCCTTGCTATGTGATTTGTTTCAACTAACTCGTTAATCTCTTTTCTTTGCGTTCCTATAAAGCGCCAAATTTGTTTTTGAAGTCCGTAGAAGTCACTCTCCATTCATTTAGAGAAAATTTCCCAATGTTGGTTGCGCCAAATTTGTTTGTCTTACTAGTGCTGTTGTCTCGTTTCGGATTCGTCTATATGTTTCGAATGATTCTCGTGTGCGTAATGTTCTGTAGTTGAGGTATGCTATTTTTTTCTCTCTACATTTTTCTTTAATTTCTGGACGGAACCACGGAGTTTTATTTATTTTGGTGCTATTATTTCTTTTTATAGACCGGGTGCCTAAAGCTTCACATGCGGCCTCTTTGATGTTGTTCTTTAGTTTCTCCCAGGAGGTATTTATGCTATCCTCTGCTTTTATTGAGTTTACTTGGATTTTGTCTGTCAGTCTTCCAGTTAGACTTCCAATAGCTTTGATTAATTCGATTTTGTCCCCTAGAACATTATTTATTAGAATGCTCACTTATACTTGTGAAAGGCACTTTGTTACATCAATTCCGTCAAAATTTTGCTCTGCAAGAAAACAAAGCATATTTTACCAACAAGACAATACATAATATGAACAAGAGCTGATAAAAAAAATTTGGCTCAATTGTAATGAAATATTTAGCATTTGCTACAAATGCCCGCGCATTTAACTTAAAAAGGACACGAAGGATTTCAGGTGAAAAAAGATGGACGTCCATCATCAACTTATTATCTGTCGTTCTTTCTGATGAAATCACGAATTTTCCAAGATGCTTTTATTATTTCGTTAAACAAATAAACTATAACCAACACAGTGCTATAATAATATTATTATACTGTGCTACCAAGGTGAATTTATGTAAAAATCATCTATAACCCAATCGTAGATCGCGGCTTTATATTGCATCATATTTTATTAACATTCTATGCTGTAATTGAATAGTCAAAAGTACCTACAACCAACAATGGGTGAAATATGAAAAAAGTAAATAGTAAATGCTTCTTTGTACTCTCTTTGTTTGTTGTTTATAAACTGTGTATGTGTTTATTTCCAGAAATTTAAGAAAAACCTTTTACCACGTTATCTTTGTTCATTCCACCCATTGTTTATTTGTTTTTAAATCCTCTTAGGAAATCATGCATAAACAACATCAAACAACGCCTTATTGTTTCTACGTACTTTGAAATGTTGATAGCAAATGTTTCAGGCGCCACTTGGCCAAAAATTCTTCCACGCTGCTCATATTCTCGACAAAACACGCACCACTTGCTGGTTGTTCAAAAGGACTGATGCCGATGATACTAATACTAACACGCACGTAGAATTTAGAATTTTTACTTACTCCAAAAAAAAAAAACACGCACGTAACAGGTTGATCGCGTCACGACGCAAATATAGGCAACAATGGCTACTTATGCCAAGAGCGCCGACTTGCTACTAAAAGCATTGCTTTCAGCTGAAAAGTTTGACATTGGAGATAAAAGCATATCATTCCAATAAATGGAGTAAGTTGAATCCACGCAAAATTTGGCCCAAATGCAATAATTTTCTGCTAAAATCCGATTTGCCAAAAAAGCATGGATTTTAATTTGAAACTCTTAAATTTGACGTGAAAGTAATTCATTTGCCTGAATGGCATAACAAGGCAAATGCATGATGAATTTACCCCAATTGCAGTGGTTTTGTATAGTACAAAAGCAGTGCTATTGAATTTAAGGAGTCTCCCTTGGCAAAAAAGCGAAAACGGCAAATGCGCGGAATCATTTGCCATTAAAGCATTAGTTTTTTCACTGAACTCGCATTTTCATTGGAGGACATCGTCATATTTATTTCAAACCAATAGTCAACGAAAATATTCATATAATTTAACAAAATTACTGGAAACCACCATAAATACGAATTATGGGTTAGGTTCAAAATGTTTTCTCTTCTTAAATAATTATTTGAACGTTAACATTATTAGGCATCTGCATAAAAGTGTGTATTTTGAAACAAAATTACTTACTTAATAAATTAAAAAAAAAATTATATTAAAACAGCATATCCTTCAAATCCTCCAATTTAATAGCTGTTAGTAAGAAGTCACTAGGTTCAGTTCACTAGGTTCTAACCAGTTTACTAGGAAATAGTCATCTTCAAAAAGAGTTATTTTTGGGCATAGTATAGAGATGTGTAGTTCGTGAACGAACTAGCTCCAATAAACTATTCCGACCCCGGAATGAAAGGAACTAGTTCCCGCTTTCTCAAAGAACTAGTTCCTCAGAACCTATTCCGGGATCGAGACTGTGACCGATATATAATAATATGCGATGGCGACGGATCGGCCAGCACGATCGTAGCCCGATGCTAGACAGGAGTGAGGAGTGCCAGCCGTATGTTATCGGATCAGGACCTACAGGAAGTAGAGGAACTAAGTTAAAGACTAGTTTAACGTACGAATCGGCCAGCCCGATCATAGCCCGATGCTAGGCAGGAGTGAGGAGTGCCAGCCATATGTTATCGGATCCGGACCTAAAGGAACTAAATAAAAGACTAGTTGACGTATGGGTCGGTCAGTGCGATTGTAGCCCGATGCTAGGCGGGAGTGGAGAGTGCTAGCCGTATGTTACCTGTCCCGGACCGGGAGGACTCAGAGGAACTAGAGGAACTAAATAAAAGACTAGTTCACGGGAATCTATTCAGTCGGCAGATCCGAGATATAAACAAGGCGACGACGATAGATTCGGCCTTGTCTATTGCCACAGCCGGCTTAATTACTACAGAAAATTGTCGTAGATACTGTTTTTGATTTTTAGTTTGTTCTTTGAATATTTTTATGGGAATGTTTTAGTTTAGATCCCTAAAATTAAGAAATAGTATCTTATAAAACATAGTAGATATTCTGAATTTTTAGACAAAAACAAAAAGCTTAAAGTGAGGAAAAATACAATTTTTCTTAAAGTTTTTGTATTATTTGCTCCGATTGATTTGTGATATAGTTTTTTAAACTCTGATTTGAGTTTCCTTTTTAATTTTTTTTATCTGCAATAAAACTTACCTATATGTTTTTAGCTACGCAATTACACGTCTCGTTATGTTTCGTACATTATAAAAATTATACAGATCATACTGTGAATAGTTCTGACTGACAACGAAACCCATTAGCAAGCAACGGGGATGTCAATGTTAGTCGGGAAAGTCGGGAACTATTGTGAACTAAAGGCCTAGTTCGAGGAACTATTCCTCTGAAGGAACTAGAACTAAGGAACTAGTTCCTCCCAAGGAACTAGAATTCCCACCTCTAGCGTAATATAGCCGCGCGCCTCCACTGCTTATTTCTCACTTTTTTAATCAAAAATATTCCAATTTTATAATTAACCTTTTTTGTTTTAACTCATTATATTATTATTTATTTCCTGCGAAAATAAGGTACAAGGGAAATTTTGACAGAATCGCCCTTGAATATTAAACAATGAGCAGCAACTAATAATAAGAACATTAGAGGTATAAATAGACTTTTAAACGAAACCTAATATGTTCTAAACCTGGATCTGAGCGTAAACACGCACGCTAATAGCTCAAACGAAAATAGCTTGACATAAAATACAGTAGGCCGGTTTTCGATAAACAACAACGATGCAAAAAGCGGGGCCGCCTCCCGATTTTCGAGCTTTTTGCGAAAAAGCCATCGCCAATCTCACCATCGAGGACGTAGACTCCTTCAAATCGGCCAAGGATGACATTTCCAGGATCAGGATCATGCAGGACATTGCCAAACTGGTGTCCATTGGCATTCCAGAGGATGCTGGAAAGGATTATATGGTTGCCGAGTCGAAAAAATCTGAAGGAAATCAATTGTTTGGCAGGAAAGATTATAAAAACGCGTTAAAGTGCTACAATGAAGGGATTATTAAGTGTCCTCAAGAAACTGGTAAGTGTTTTAAAGTGGTGTTTATCAAATTATAGCTAGGGACATAATTACATGTACTAAAAAATACAAGGTGTCTTGTTCAAAAATAGATCCGTTCAGATTTCTTGTTTTTGATCCATTAGGGAAATCCAAATAATATAGAGCATATTTTACATATTTTTCATATTAAACGTATTTTCAGATTTATTTTAAGATATTTGCATAATTCAAAAATATACCTATACAGGGCGAGTGTTAAATAAGTGCAAATATTTTCAGGGCTGGTAAATCTCGATAAAAAGAAACATATTTTCTCTTTACCGTTTTTCAAATAAGTCCAAAATAACCGAGTTATTTTACTTCAAAAATTTCAAAAAGAAAAATGATTTTTACTTAAATTTTGAGGACCACCGGATCTTTTCTGGGGTTTCTTTCTTGTAAATTTAATCTAATACCTATATTGCTATATTATCAAGAAATTATGTTTTTTAACTAAAAGAATTTTACACAGAATAAAAATAAAAATAAAAAATAGGGTGTTGCTTTAAAAAAAACATATGTTATACCCGCCACACTTCTTGGAAGAGCTCTGTAGACTCTATAATAATTTTAAAATGTGTATCAACCTTCCCTATAACTTTTATATTTAACATTTTTTGTAAACCTCGAAACAAATGAGGTAATAGACTTTATTCTATCGTTGACTCACCCTATACATATTTTGGGTAAAACATTTCCTCATGTATGTGCATATTTTACAAAAAAATTGGAAATGTTTGGGTTTCCCTATTTATAAATATAATTATTATGTTTTAGTTAAAGATAGAGAACTCCTGACCATTTTAGTATCAAACAGGAGCGCTACAAATTTCGAACTACAAAAATACCGACGTGTCCTGGATGACATCGACTACATAACGGAAATAGGGGATTACCCCAATCATCTTCACTACAAACTATGGCTGAGAAAAGCCCGATGCTATGACGAGCTCCAGAACAAGAAACTAGCCAATGAGGCTTACGACGAAGCTGAGAACAGCCTGAAAAACAGCAAGCTAGATGAAAAATCAGTCGAAGACAAAATGAAAGAAATAGAAAAGTTTAGGAAGCAAGGAAGTAGGTGTGTGAATCCCAAACAGAAGAAACAGTTGGAATTGGAACCTGTATTTTTCGAAGAAAGGTTCAGGGGTGGGGATGAATTTGTAGCTGCTATTCCGAAAATAGCTATACAACAGGACAGTTATCAGGGTCGGTATGCTATGGCGATTGAAGACATCCCAGCAGGTAATTTTCTTTTCAGCAGAGTTGTTCAGTTAAAGCAAAAAACATTGTTCAATAGTATTCTTTTTTATTCAACAAGAATGTTCTGTGAGTTAAGACACTTTCCTGATTTAAAAACAGTTTTAATATTAACTGTTTAACTATACGTCTAATCTTTTGAAATTAACTACCTCGACCTTATAGACCTATTGTGCTAGGGTTTGCGGAAACGGAGCTGTTTTTCGGGACCGGGAATTTCGGTACCGCGCCTCTTAGGTACTGGGATTTCCCGGTTTTTTCGGTACTTTCGGTGCTAATTTTTGTTCAATGTGGTGCAGTTAATCAATCAGAAAGCAAGGGATGGGTTTTTAAAGCAAAATGGATAAAAAGTTGAGATTTTTAATGATATCAAATTATTAAGTAATTAGTCATGAAAAAATTAACATGAATACAAGTAAAGAAAAATGTATAGGTAACTTAAATTTCACATCAAACAACATAAACCAACTTAACTGAGAGAACCAACTAATTTGAGACAAAAGCCCTAAAATATTGAATTAATAATGCCAATATCTATTAAAACATAACATAATAAATATTATAGGAACTTCAAAAGAGAAAAGAAGCAAGAACAATAAAAAATAGCATCATTACTTATTTAGAAGAGTTTGATTTCGACCCCTAGAAAATATCAAAAGTCCTTCGCACGTAACAAAAAATATGTTTTTAATTATTATTACAGAGTCCCGAAAGTACCGAAAGAACCGAGAATTAATAAATTTGAGTCCCGGTTCTTTGATGTCTCAAAAGACAAGTCCTCTTTCGGTACCGGGATTTCCCGGTTCTGAACCATTTATTTATTTATCGTATGGCTCACATACATGGAAGAAAATCAGACTCTTAAACATAGACATAAAATAAACTCAATATAAATGAAAACATTACAATGTAAATATAAAAAAACAAGTATATGATAAAAAGACAACATAAAACGAAAAAATATACGAACACTATATATTAACATCTAGATGGCCTATCCATTCTAAAGCTGCTGGAGAAGCCTCCAGAAAGTCCCTCCAATCTCCACCATAAACGCGTAGGTTTCACTCTCTAGTTATGTGATGGATGGTTTGGTGAGGGGATCCGCAATCACATTCTGGGGAAGGTATTTTACCCCATTTATAACGGAAATCCGCACATCTTCCATGACCAGAGCGTATCCTATTCAAAGTTGACCATTTTTCCGGTTTAGATCCGTACCGGGTGTCTGGCAATAGTTACTTTCGAACCAGGAGTATAGGTGCGCATCGGCCATTACCTGAAGCCACTGATGCTCGAGAATTATAGTTAGTAATGCTTTTTAGTTGTTCAGCTGTTCGCAAAGATGGGTTTCTCGACTTCAGTCTATTCGTAAAGCAGGAAGTGTTTCATGAACAGGGAGCGTTGGGGTAGCTATAATTTTATCAAATTCTCTAAGAGCCTCGTTTCTCCGTATATAGATTTGGAGGTAGGATGTTACTCAGAACTGGAAGCCAGTAATTAGGTGTGGATCTGATTGTCCCTGTAATCAGCCGCATGGTGTTGTTCAGCTACCTGTCTACGAGATTTATGTGGTGGCTGTTCAACTACACGGGTGCACAATACTCTGCCACGCTGAATACCAGGCCAAGGGCGGAGATCCGAAGTGTTGTTACTTTTGCAGCCCAAGAAGTATCACAAGGTTTTTGTATAATGTTGTTTCGTGTTCTGATTTTACCAGTGCACGGTCTAGAGTAATCCCCAGATATTTTGGATCTTTGTTATTACGCAGAGTGGTGTTTTATTTGCACCTGGTTGAAGTCTCCATTTTATGAAATAGGCATTCAAGGATTCGAGATCCTTTGTCAGCGTTTCTTGGTTTGGTTTGGTTTGGTTTGATATAGCGATTCATGCTCAGTTGCTATGGCTATATCGTCTGCGTAACAAAAATTTCTAGATTGCGTATCTGGTAGATCAGAGATGTATAAATCGAATAAGAGAGGTGCGAGAACGGAGCCTTGGGGTAACCCGTTGTTAAGTTTTTTAGATTTACTTGTGCCCTCTCCCAGAAATACTTGAATATGTCGGTTACTTAGCATGTTGTTGAGAACTCGAGCTATATCTAACCCTATATCTGAACCCTAATGTGGCTTTTCCCTATAACTTCTTATAACTCATCATACAGTCTCGGGATTTTAAGAAAAGCCAGACACGGTTTTAGAGAGGTTAGTTCTCCAATCTTCAATATCAGTCGTACCAAAGTTTATGGCACGAGTGGTTATCGTCTCGGTGCACTCAGTGATGAGGCTTTCTGATGCTTCCCCATTTTCCCCACAGAATCCGCATTCGTCGTTGTTTCTTATCTTCAGTCTACTGAGGTATTCATTGAGGAGATAGGGTCCTGTTAAAAGCCCCGTGCATGGTGTTGTTCAGCTGTCAGTAGATTGTTTTCACTCAAATCAAGGAATATCTTTGATTTTTCTCGGTCGTAAGTCCTGAAAAATTTCTTCGAGCGTCTTAGGCCGTTGGAGGATTCTCATTCGAATACTAGCAATAGTAGCACTCACTGTAGCTGGATGTTCTTGAGTTCCTCTTTAAGTTGATTTCCACTTGGGAAGCAGAACGTTTCTGGTCATTTCAGTTAGTTCCTTTTCTAGCTAGATCGTTCGCTTTTTCATTGACTTCTATCCTTTGGTGGAATGCAGTGGCGTAGCTAGGTAACCAAGGACCCTGGGGCAAATTATAAGATGGGGCCCCACTGCTATGTAAACTGATTAGGTTTTATCTAATAAAAATATGAAATATACAAATACTTTAAAAATGCTAAGCTACTTAAGCTCTTTTTCCACTGCAGGGCAGGTAATAAAAATATTAAACAGTAACAACATAAATTACAATTAATACTTGGTGCAGGTTTGGCTAATAAAACGAAATAGAGAAGATTCAAGGGTTTATTATATAAAGTTCGGGCCTACCAACTGACTAAATAACAATTACATTTACAATCTTTTCCTAGCTTTAATTTTCGCAAAAGTATCAATGACTCCGTTTATATCCAGGCTTGATGCGGTTTTGTTTTCAATTGCTATTAGCGATAAATGTCGGAGTCGAGTTTGGCCCATATTATTTCTTAAATATTTTTTGATTATTTTTAATTTGCTAAATGACCTTTCAGCTGCTGCAAAAGTGACAGGAATTAGTTAAGTTAGGCCGCATTCTAGGACTCCATATTTGCTCACTATTTCCTTACATAATTGGTGAACAGTCCATGCTTGAGTTAGTTGAGGTAAAGCTAGGTGGTAAATATTAGTAAATTGAAGTGAAAAACTCGGGCCTATTATATCTGAATATTTTCTTTGGAATTCGTCACACTTTTGTAATAAAGTTGCTTCATCAACATGTAATAAAAATGTTGGTGTAAGAAAATTTAATATATGACACACTGCACACATACCAATAAAACGTGTATCTAATTGAGATAGTACTGTATCTAGTATATTATTGAAAATCTCAATTTTAAATATTTTTTCTCGGTTTGGAAATCGGCGAACAGCAGCTAATCCATCAAAATGTTTTTTAACTTTTCTTTGCCTTTTTTCTTGAAAATGGGTATTAATACCATATTTTCTTGTAGTTTCACTGGCTTTGCACTTGAATAATTCGAAATCATTTCTATAAATTTACAACTTTGCTTTGGTCTCTGCTAAAACTTTACTCGCCTCGGCCTCGCCCAAATTGATGTCGCATTTTTGTAATGTTTTGGATGCATAATTGATGTCGTTCACATAAAACGCACATACCACTATCCGTCAAATTGACAACACTGCCAACCTACAGAAAAAATTTAGGGGAATTCCCTAGGCATAACTTTTGAATTTCTCTCAACTGAAATGTCATGATTAAAGTGGGGTTGCAACCTGTTATATTTATTTTGAAAATGGGAGAAATTTCCAAAAGTTCAGTTCGATCGAGATTTCTGGTAAGGATTCGAGGGCCCTCTGAGCTTGAGGGCCCCGGGGCACTACCCCGCCTAGCCCCTAGGTAGCTACGCCACTGGTGGAATGGCACCCAGAGTAGGAGGACTTAATTTTCTTTGCCTAATTTTTTCAGCTTCTGCAGATATTCTTTGACCAACTTCAAATTGATGGTTACTGAGTTGATAGCTTTTAATGCTGCTTTACTATTAACATGACCAAAATGTAGTATGAAATTTACTTTTACTTTAATTTTTATTTTTTTAATTTTTTTTTTAATTTGCTACTACAACCCAACCCAAAATTAAAGACAATTTCAGTTCAAAATGATAATTTATTTCATGATTCATCATTATCTACAACTTTCAAACTTTTCCACAACCATAAAAACCACGCTTAATAATAAAACTTTTTAATCATACTTTCACGCTATTATCTCATTTTAGGAACAACCCTGGTAGAAGAAACACCCTACTGCTCGGTAGTAGATTCAAATCACGCCTTAACCAATTGCCAGAACTGTTTAGCTTCCGTAGAATTGGCCATAGCCTGTCCCAATTGCTCAGATATCATTTTCTGTAGCACTCACTGTAGCCGGATGGCTACCAAGACTTTCCACGGTATCGAGTGTGGCTACCAAAAGGTTCTATTCAAAAACGGAGCATCGGTGAATTGTTTGATGGCCCTCAGGATTATTACTCAGAAACCTTTGAAGTTTTTCCTGGACAAAAGAAATAAGTTGAAGGATTACATGAAAGATTCCTGCAAAAAGAATGTTGTTAGGAAGAAAGTGTACAGGTAGGTTTATACAGGGTGCTTCAAGAAACATGTGCCATCTCTCGTGGAGAGTGTCTCCTCATGTAAAAATAAGATCTATTTTTCATATATCAACATAGTTCGATTATGCTTGGTTTCGTAGCTTAAATCAAGTTCTTAATTTTTTTTCGATTTATTATAATTTTTTTCCAAGTGCTTTTAGCGATTTGAATGATATTTTGATGGTAAAAGTGTTACATAGTTTAGTACTAAAAAAGTGTCAACACGTTCACCAAGGACGTGCATATGGTTTATCACGAGAATATTTTTCTAAAAAAAAACATTTGCGCCATTGACTTTTTTCTTTTGTTAGCAAAATAGTTAAGGCCGATTAAAACTTGTGTCTTGGCATTTTGTGGATTTCGATCTCCTTACTGAGATAAACACAATTTTATTAATCACAATTAATAAATTGAAATAAAATTAAAATTAATAAATTATTTATTTAATCTATTTTATTACTAAATTTTATTAAAACCTAAAAAGTCCTTTTTATTTACATATTTTCCCTGAAAAAAACTTTCCCAAACCAAACCAAACCATACCTAACCCAAGAACGGTAAGCTAATAGGATTGCTCATCCTCATAAGACGTACGTTCGCCTCTTCCCGCGCTTCAGCTGACAGTTGTGACGTCATTGTAGTCCTTGTCATGATAATGTGTATTATTAGTTGCCTATGGTAAACTTATAAAAATAACAGCTGAGAAATTTTGAGTTAATTATTTTGTCAATTTTAAAAGTGAAAAAGGTGTCTTCAAAGTTTTTAGAGCTATATAGTGTATAAATACGTCCATTTTGTGTTGTGGATTGTGACAAAGTGCTTACTAAGTGCCTACGATTTTTTTTATTAATTATTTTAAAGCAAAATATGCAAGTACTCTAAAAAGAATGCTTGCAAAAGGTGATGCTGGGAACTGCTGTTCTTAAAAATGCTTTATCCGAGTATTTAATACGATTTATACAGTTAATTTTCTATACTGCATACATATAAGGTGTTTAAATAAATAAACTAAATAATGAACGTTTTGCAACCGGCAACCAATAATGCACGTGTGTGTATTATTGGTTGCCGGATAAGAACTAATAACCATGACAAGGACTACAATGACGTCACAAAGCGACTAGTTTTCGCGTGCAGCTGGCGGACACTTTTGGCTGAATGAGCAGTCATATTAGGTTAACTGTTCTTGGGCCTAACCTAACTAAAATGTCCCGCCCCCATATAACCTTAATATCGCATTAAAGAATAGACACCGTAATGATTCATTCGAACGTTCGAGAACAATCAAGTTCCACTGGAATGGAGGAGTACGTACGAGAACATTCTAAACCTTCTCTATGCACCTAATGATCTAATGGATTATTCGAGAATTGTTTAGCTGTGGGTATATAATCCGACGCCTGGGGCCTGAGGAGGACAGAAGCAAACAGACGCGTACAGTTGCCGCGCTAAATTCAAAATAAATTCCTTCTAGATAAATAGTTATAAATAGTTTGTAAATAGTTCTTTAAGTCTTTTATCGTTATTGTTTTGTTACTTAGTGTAAAATAAATTGTGTTTAAATAAATTAGACTTTCTATCCACACGAAACCGACGAAAAACGTAACAATATTATTAAACTGACATAAAGTGTGATTTATTATAATTTTCGCCCAAGTGTTTTTAGCGATTCGAATGATATTTTGGGGGTAAACGTTACTACAAGTGTTACATAATATTTTAGTACTAAAAAAGTGTCAACAAGTTCACCAAGGACGTGCATATGGTTTATCACGAGAATATTTTTCTAAAAAAACATGTGCACCACTGACTTTTTTTCTTTTGTTAGCAAAATTATTAATGCCGATTAAAACTTGTGTCTTGACATTTTGTGAATTTCGATCTCCTTACTGAGATAAACGCAATTTTATTAATCACAATTAATAAATTGAGATAAAAATAAAATTAATAAGTTATTTATTGAATCTATTTTATTACTAAATTTTATTAACATTTATAACAGCGATGTTCAGTGCTACCTACAGCAAATTCAAGAAAAAAAATAATGGTATTTAAGATAATTACAAAAAACCTATTTTAGTTTATATTTTTTTATATATTTTATATATTTAGTTATTATTAAGTTTTAACAATCCTGTAACTTTAAAACTATGAAATTTCCGCATCCATGTTTATATAGTAAACTTATATGTGTCAAATGAATCGTCAAACAGAACTGTCACTTTAAATCCCCAATTTAGAGTCCTTGTTTATATAGTACCACGCATGAATGTTTGGATAGTGATTATCTCTTGATTCCTTAGTCTTCTTATTCAAAGCATTTATACAACAAAAACGTAAATTTTTACCGCAGACGTAGGTTTTTAAAGGCCCAGTCTAATCATCTGCCTGCGCTCCTCCTACTTATTCTAAAATGTTAGCGTGATTGACAAAGACGACACTATATCGCGTTTCTTTGATTGATTCGTTTTTGTGCGTCTGTCCATTGGTGTGCTTGCAGTGCGACCAATGGGGCATTCCATTTTATATTTATAACCAAATATATGTTTTGACAAAACTTTGACAGTTAAAACAACATATTACAACAGATTATATATTGATTATTATATGACTTGAAACACCACGGCACTGGAATTAAATTTTATGAATTTTTATGAATCACTCCCAAACATTCGTGGCGTTTACTATAGGAACTTTTTTTCATATTTTTTGATGAGGTAATCTTATTTAACACTTTGACCAGTTAATGACATTAATTTTTTTTATTAATTATTTTGTCTTGGATTAAGGCAAATTAATAAAATTATGTTTATTTCATCAAGGAGACAAAATATCGACAAAATATCAGACAAATTTTAACTGGCATTAAATCGCTTAGACAACTGTGCTAACAAGAATAACAAGACAGTGACGAACAGTTCTCTTTAGAAAAAATATTCCAGTGATAACCCATGCATATGCACGTCCCTGGTAAATTTGTCGATACTTTTAAACAATAAAAATATAAAAAATATGTCGCACTTATAGTAACGTTTTCCACAGTTTAAGGAATATTAAGTTGAAGGAATATAATTTCTTAAACTGTGCTTTTACCCTAAAAATTTCACTCGAATCGCTAAAAGCACTTTGAAGAAAATTATAATAAATCGAAAAAAAATGAAGACTTTAACTCCCTTGAGCTCAGCAGAATCAGACCTATATTTATATAAGGAATATATGTATGTATGTATGTATGTAATTGTCTTTATTTCCCACAAAAATAAATACAAGAGCAAGTAATTATATAATAAACACAATGATATGAACATAACAGAATAATACAAATTCAGTGGAAAATGGAGCCAAATTCAGAACATAAATTATTATGTTCTGCTCTTCCATTTAACTCCACATATATACTCTATATATATATATATATATATATATATATATATATATATATATATATATATATATATATATATATATATATATATATATATATATATATATATATATATATATATATATATATATATATATACCGTATATATCGAAAAAACGGCGTATACAGTTGGCTGGGAAATGAACATGTTGACATGTTTTTTGAAATACCCTGTAAATAAAAACTCAACAGAACGAAATTCATTCCATAGCTATCGCTGACGACGTTTTTCTCGATCATACGGTATATATATATATATATATATATATATATATATATATATATATATATATATATATATATATATATATATATATATATATATACATATATATAGCATATATACATATACATATATATATATATATATATATATATATATATATATATATATATATATATATATATATATATATATATATATATATATATATATATATATATATATATATATATATATATATATATATATATATATATATATATATATATATATATATATATATATATACAGATTATATATATATATATATACATATATATATATAGATATATATATATATATATATATATATATATATATATATATATATACAGATATATATAGATATATATATATATATATATATATATATATATATATATATATATATATATATATATATATATATATATATATATATATACTCTATATCTTATTTTTACGTGAGTAATCTCACATGTTGTCACATGTTTTTTGAAACACCCTGTAAAATAAAAAACTCAAAAAGAACAAAATTGTTTTCTTTCTAGGTCTGACGACTACGACAATCTATTCTTCCTCTGTCGTAATGAAACTTTACGAATAAAAGAAGAGTTAGTCCATTACGCGAGCATTGCAATTTCTTTAGTAAACATACTAAAACTAAGTGGTTATTTTGGTGACAAAAAACAGGATGTTCTCAGCGAGGACGAAATATTTATAGGGGCCCTGATTCTAAGACACCTGCAGATACTTCAGTTTAACGCGCACGAACTGTCAGAACTGCAAAACTGTAACGATGATGTCAATAATAATGACATATTTGTAACAGGTTACGAGAACGCAGCCATTGGAGCAGGAGTCTATCCTACTTTGGCCATGTTCAATCACTCTTGTGACCCTAGTGTTATCAGGTAAATAACTAAAGAAAAGCGGCTTTATAGTTAATAGTTAAGAGTCCATTTCAGTAGTCCGAAAAAGTAGCAAAATAAACGTTCGGCATTTAACGTTTTTTGTAAAACTGGCTCGGTATTTTTACATAAAGGAAGAAGGAAATTAAAGATAAATGATTATACTATATCCATATTGTAGCACACACACAACTTCTTTATTTTTAAGATTTTGATGGAGAGAGATTTCAAACATCAACAAAATATTCCTTAAAATTCCGTTACAATACGGAAATAGATTGAAGTATTGTGATTACAGTGATATATATTTTATATGGTTTTGTAACAAATTGCTCCCTATTTTATGACAAATGCTGAAGCTCTGCAAACCTCAATCAAGCCTTAATCAAAGCACGTGTGTTTGGAATTTTGGGTGTGGCTTAACAGGACAGGATCGGGCTAAGCCTTAGGCAGATTTCTGAAATATACTACTAATATATTTCCTTTGGCCACACACCCGTTTTACCCGCCCCTGAGAGCGACCCGAAAGTACTGCATAATAGACTCTTAAGATTTGTTAGCAAGAGCACAGATAACATAGTATATACAAGGTTTCAAAAAATAGTGTACCTAACTTTGGTCGATGATGGATTTGGAGTTCTTAAAAGTAACTAATATACAGGGTGGTCCGAACTGTATTCCGGAAACATTGTCAGCATATTCTGCAGATAAAAATAAGTAAAAAAGTTCGTATAAATGTATGTCCTAAAATGCTTAGTTTCGGAGATACAGGGTGTAGAAATTTTATTTTTATTTCGATTTTTTCCAAATAGTTTCTGAAGTAACGTCAATATTTGGATGAAAATTGGTGTCTGGAGGTTTGTTTTGGTTAGGTTAGGTTAGGTTAGGTTGTTGCTATTTTATCAATGAGACAAAAATCGACAAAAAATCAAGACGTAACTTTTAATTGGCATTAAATGACATACACATATGCTAACAAGAAAGAAAAGTACAGCTTTTTTTAGAATAATGTTCCAGAGGTAACCCATATGCAGAGCATACCTGCTTTCAAAAGGAGTAGGCACTAAAACTCGCAAAAGAAAAATTTTTATTTGACATAATTTACCTCTATACAAAAGTGCTTTATTGTTTGTCCGTTAGGCGGCATCAAACTTTAAGAAAATAAACACATTTTTTCAAATATTTTAAGAACCGTTATTCCGAATTAAATGAGATTTTGGGTGTCTATGCTAATGTACGTTTTGCTAAGTAGTTTAACATTTGACTTTTACCAAAATCAAGAAAAAGTACAGGGAGGATGAAAACTACCCCCACCCCCTACATAAATTTTAGTATAAATATTTTCCAACTCAACCGACTATAGATTTTTTTTGTAAAATGGTTCTTCTAGTATTTACTACATTTTTTGTCTCATTAAAATGCCACCGCGCATACTTTTTGAGGAAAATAAATATTTCCAAAGCTAACTTTTTTTTGTCACGTCAAGGTATAGAGGCCCATAAAATATGTTATGCCTTAATAATCCAGTTGGTAAAAATATATGTTAGTATCACAAATAATAGTTGACAGTAAGTTTCATAAAAAGCTTAAAAATATTAATACATTTTAAATTAATAAACGTTCGTGTTTATGTTTGATTGATGCCCTCTAACGGACGAAAGAAGCACTTTCGTATAAAGATATAATATATGCAATTGTGTCCACAGACTATTGGAACTCCCTGTATATTTTGTACGTCTGCTTTGGAAAATTAAATCTCAAAAATTATGCGTGGCGTTTTTTTACAAGAGACACAAAAAATGTGGTAAATACCATTTTACATAAGTACCATTTGTTAGAGAGACCATTTTACGAAAAGAAAATATGTCGTCGGTAGAGCTGGAAAATATTTTTACTAAAATATATGCAGGTCGCGGGTGCGTGGTTGCGGATAGTTTTCACCCTTCCTGTACATTTTCTTGATTTTTTTGAAAGCCGGATGTTAAAGCACTTAGCAAAACATAGAGACCGAAAAGTTTGATACCCTCTAGCGGACAAACGAAGCATTTTTGTATAAATGTAAATTATGCCCAATAAACATATTTTGATCCCAAAAATACGTAGTAGTTCTATGTCCACGGTATATTGAAACACCTTGAGTACTTACCACAGATACTATGTTATCTGGGGCGGTTCTCAAACTGTACCTATATACAGGGTTGTTCACCACATACGATACGAAGTATTGTAGCTAAACGATTAGATTTTTACAAATTGTAAGTTTTGGGTTCGTTGAAGGACTATTAGAGCTACAATTTAAAAATATTTTTACAAGATACAAAGTGTCCCGAATAAATAAAAAATATCGAAGTTGTATTTTTTTAAATGGAACACCCTGTATATTATTACATTTTTAGTTTTTACGATTAAAATAAAGGAAAAATTTGATTAAGGTTTATTACACTTAAACCTTACCGTTTTTGAAATATTTTCAATTTTGTGAAATTGCAGTAAAAATTTTAAGGCTTCATTTCTCCAAGGGTATCAAAGTTTTTAATACTAAATATTTTCTGAAGTATATTTATTGATCAGTAATTGTGTTGCAATAATAAAAATAATACTACCTCATACAGAGTGTCTAAAAATTTATTTTAAATAATTTCTAGCTTTAAACGGTAATAACTTGTTTAATTTAACTAGAACGCCCTATATATTTTAGGAGAATCAGATGTATAATTTAATTGTCTATCAAATTGTATCATACCACTTTTTACCTATCCCTTCAAGTTTTCACAGAAAATGCATTTTCTTATAATTTAGACCTCATTTATCGATATACCCATGGAATATTGACATTTTAGATTGTTTTTAAAACAACAAATGTACAAAATGTACAGGCTAGTAATATTATCGTTTTTAGCAAAACGATAATATTACTAGCCCATTTGTATAAAGAAAACTATTTAAATCTTTATAAAAGAGTATACCATTAATTAAATATACCACCATTATTTCCGCCCAAATAATAATTAATTACATACTTAATTGTGTTCGTTAATAAGTTATTCTAAATACATGTGGATTTGAATCAGAAATCAATATAATAATAAGTTATAAAAATGAACGTCTCTGTTATAAATAAGCATTTTTCAAAAAATGAAATATCATTTTTAAGGTGTTACTTTATACCACACTGTCTAATACATATCACATACAAAATTCAGTTTTATAGTATTTAGAGCAATTATTATTAATCAACGCAAACAGTAAATTAATGTAGTTTGAATACTGGAATCATATTAATTGGTCCTCTTTAACAAATATTTAAACAGTTTTTTTTTACTTTTTAATGAAATAAACGAACTATATTGACAATATTAGTATCTGCACTCTTTAAAAATTTGGTACATCTTTAAAAATAATCTAAAATGTCAGTATTCCATGGGTATATTGATAAATGAGTTCTAAATTACAAGAAAATACAGTTTCCACGGAAACTTGAAGAGATAGGTAAAACATGGTATAATACAATTTGATAGACAATTAAATTATGCATCTGATTCTCATAAAATATACAGAGGGTTCCATTTAAATTAAACAAGTTATTGCCGTTTAAAGCTAGTAATTATTTAAAATAAATTTTTAGACACTCTGTATAAGGTAGTATAATTTTTATTATTGCAACACAATAACTGATCAATAAATAAACTTCAGTAAATATTTAGTTTTAAAAACTTTGATACCCTTGTAGAAATGAAGCCTTAAAATTTTTAATGCTATTTCACAAAATTGAAAATATTTTAAAAACGGTAACGTTTAAGTGTAATAAACCTTAATCAGATTTACCTTTATTTTAATCGTAGAAACTAAAAATGTAATAATATACAGGGTGTGCCATTTAAAAAAATACAACTTTGATATTTTTTTATTTATTTGGGACACTATATATCTTGTAAAAATATTTTTAAATCTAATAGTCCTTCAACGAACCCAAAACTTACAATTTCTAAATATCTAATCGTTTAGCTACAATACTCCGTGTCGTATGTGGTGAACAACCCAGTATAAACATTATTTTTTTAATTTTCAAAGTTAAATAACTCGATTATTCTTAATTTATTTTAAAAATAATAAAATACAAAATATATTTCTTTTCCTGAAATCTACCATCCCTTAAAAGACTTACACTTATTTACTAAACACTCTGTATAACAGATGATATATTATGAAGATAATTATAATTCATAGTTTTCTTTCAGATATAATATAAGAAACAAAATGATTGTCAAGGCCATTAAACCCATCAAAGCTGACGACATCATCTACGAAAATTATGGCCCGCTGTACATGTCCGAACCACTGGAAAGTCGTCAGGCCAAACTCAAGGAAAACTACTACTTCGAGTGCCTTTGTCAACCCTGCATGGAAATGTGGCCTCTGTTCAAGGAAATGAACGAAGCTGTGCTTAGGATTCCGTGCATAACTGACGGTTGTCCGTTTACCTTTACTGTGGATCCTGCTGACGATCCTTTTCTGAACTGTCCCTACTGTCATAATACCACCGGTATATTTCCTAATTTGAAGGGTTTAATGGTAAGTAGAAAAATAAAATATTTTTGGCTGCTTTTAAGAGGATATCAGATCACTGTTATGGATGAAGTGTGCTACTCACTTTATGAGAATTTTTAACCACTGCACTGTGATTTATTCATACAGTGGCTCAAAACAAATAAAAATGCTTTGTGAAATACAATTTTTGCAGTACACATAATGTACCATTGCGATCAAAAAAAAGTAGTACAAGAATTAGTAGTCCCAGATAGAACTCCTGCTCTATAAGGATATCGAGAAGTGGATATCGTCGTCACTATGAAAACAATACAATTATGCCACCTAACTTTTTAGGCGTTACCATGAATTTGGGAATAATTGGTAGGTATACGTGGCGAAATAAAAGTATAAAAAATTTACCTACCTTCTAAAAATGGGCAATTTTTCAAGTTTTAAAAATATTTTATTATAGACCAGCAGATTAAATCATATTTTGCTGTATTCCTTTTTTATCGCAATGGTACCTAAATTCAACAATTTCCAAATTATGAAGTTTTGATTTTGAAATGTTAAACAAAAATTTTGTAATCTAACCTGGATTCTGCTTTGTTTCATAGCTACACGGTGTTAAAGTGTTAATAATCTTTCGATTTATTATAATTTTTTTTCAAGTACTTTAGTGATTCGAATGAAATTTTGAGGGTAAAAGTTACTATAAGTGCTACATATTTTAATTCTAAAAAAGTGTCAATAAATTCATCAGGGACGTGGATATTAGTGATGGGCAAAACTGTTATTTTTAGATAACAGTTGAAACTGTTATAGTTATTTATAAAAAAACAGCTTAAAATAACAGCTTAAAAATAACAGGTTTCTTTATTTTACTGCTAAATATCTGAAAGAGTATGAGACGGTCACCGCCAGGCTTATTAACGCAGTTGCAACTTGCAACAATGACGTGCTCGGTGGTAGTATTTCCAGGGTGTCAAAACATTTCTAAATATCGATTGTTATCTAAAATACCTCTCTAAAAACTGTGGTTGTTTACAAATAAGCGCTGTTTACAAATTGCGATATAAAAAAAGCCAAAATTCCGCCACTCGTCTATACCTACACATTGCGATCTACCTACGCCCTGCCCCTCGATCCGCGTAGATCCTGAATTGCGTAGCAGTGTACAGGGTGCATCTCACTCGACGGGCGAGAAGCTCTTAGTTATGATTTTACCATTTGCGGTCAAAAAATAGCAATATAAGAAAATGTGTAGTATATTCTTCATAAGTAAACCAACTACACACTAGAGTTCGAACTAATTTTACACGTAAACTAGCGTGTACCCGCGACTTCGTTCGCGTCGAATTAATAATTTCTAATTGTGATGATAAAGCAAAACAAGAATTTTCATTAACATACAAACTGGATAAAATTTTCTCACATTTGCCAAAAATAAGCTTTCTAACGTCGAGCAGTTTAAGCAGAATCGTGGTTAATCAATTACTCAACTTTTGGAACACCCTGTATGATTTTTTAAAAAATTCAAAATATGTAAAAAAATCAAAATAAATTATGCGTGTCCAGGCGTTTTCCCGAAATACTAACCGTTTTTAAATAACAAATATTGTAATATTTGAGGGGCGTTTTCACCCTGTTGGAATTTGAGATTCGAGAAACCCCTCCTTATCGAACCTCAACCCCACAGTCAATCCGTTTGCAAAAATCAGCTTTAAACGTCCAGCAGTTTAAGCAGAATAGTGATTACCAATGGTCATATTTTATGAAACACCCTGTATATATTTTTAAAAATCTTAAAATATGTAAAACAACATAATAAAATATACGTGTTTTAAGAGTTTTTCCGAAAAACTCACCGGTTTTTAAATAAAAAATATTCTAATATTTGAGAGTAGTTTCACCCCCTTAGAACTCGAGTTTTGAAAAATTCCTTCTTATCGAACCTCTACACACTAAAGTCAATCCGTTTTCCAAAAATCAGCTTTTTACGTCAAGGGCTTTAAGCAGGATCGTGATTAATCAATGACCAGACTTTTCAAAACACCCTGTATACATTTTTAAAAAATCTTAAAATATTATTCTGAAGATTTTTCAGAATAAATAAATACCTAAATATTGAAACTTAATAAGTAAGTACTGAACATACAGCGCCATAATATCTCGACCTCCGTCCGTTATGCTCGTAACAGGTTGAAACAGAATGTATCTAAAACAACTGATGCGTTATTCCCCAACCTGTTTCGAACCTCCATCGACAATCGACCGATGCAGCAGCGTTCCTTTCCCACACCTATTATCTCGTCCGCCGCCCTGTTATACTTGTAACAGGTTGAAAAACAACATATCTAAAATGACTGCTTCTCCAACCCGTTGCGAGCCTCCATCGACAATCGACCGATGCAGCAGCGTTCCTTTCCCACTCCTGTTATCTCCACCGCCAGGCGTTATGCCCTCAACTGTTTCAAAAAACCTGCTTCTTTTATATCCTATTATTTTTAAGCTGTTGTAAATACGACCATTGACGGTATCGACCGAAGCAGCTACGTTCGCCGTAGCGCTTTCCCCACTCCGTTGTCCGTTGTCTCGCCGCCTGTATCGATGGTTGACGAAATAACATGTTTTCAATCCATACTAGTTGTTTTTTGGAATTGCTTCGAGCAGCATAGAATTTCGTGGTGATGCAGAGCGCCGACTTCGTTTTTCGTTTCACGAGCGGCCGATCTCTACGTGTCGTTATTTTATATCTGTTATTTTTTAGAAGTAGTAACGGTTGCGTTATGTTATTTAAAAATAATAGTTATAAAATAACAGATAGTCAAATAACAACCCATCACTAGTGGATATGGGTTATCGCTGGAATATTTTTCAAAAAAAACATGTGCGTCACTGACTTTTTTTTTCTTTTGTTCGTGCACGTCCCTGGTGAATATGTCGACGCAATTTTAATTATACTTTTAATGATGATTTTAGAAACTAGAAGAAATCTTACCTGAAGCTGAACACTTGCTCAGTCTCCATCAATTCGACAACGCTTCAAAGAAATTCTTCGAAGCCCTGGAATTGCTCTACAAGTACTCCAGAGCACCCCATCCAGATTTCGTCAAAGTCCAGCAAAGGATACGCGTTTGCCTTCTCCATTTTGGAAATAAAGCTTACGATTATGAACCCAAATTATAATTTGTTATGAATTTATTGTTAAAACATTTGTTATACTGATAAAATAAAGAATATTATTAGAATTCTAACTTAGACTCTTGATGTTTTTTCACACATTACATATTATATACAGAGTGTTTCTTTCATCATATAAATGTTTATGACTATATTAGGTATATTAAAAAGTTGTCATAGTTTCTTCTACACCTGTTATTTTAACTTTTGTATTTGTCAGGACAGTCGTGTTTCTTAACCGGTGGTCGGCGGACCCCTGCGTGGGCCCGCGAGTAGGTGTATGGAGGTCCGCCGTCTTATCTAAGAACATTTGATTTTTTAAAATTTATTTGGAACTACTCAAAAATCATATTTTACCTGCTTTGCATGATGCCGCTAGGGAAAATCAGGAAGTTTGGTACCAAATGGATGGCTGCCCGGCACATAGTACCCTGGCTGTTCGGGAATATTTAGACAATAGTTTTAACGGAAACGTTATTGGCATAAATCATACAGTAAATTGGCCAGCAAGGTCTCCTGATATTTCGCCAAATGATTTCTTTCTCTGGGGCCATTTAAAAAACAGGATATACAAGGAAAAAAATATCCAAATCTAGACGAGTTAAAAAATGCTATTTCTGCCGAATGCAATAGAATTTCAGTTTACCAACTAGCGAATGTAAGAAGAGAATTTTATGATCGCCTGGGTTATTGTCTAGCAGTCGATGGAGGAATATTTGAACATCTTCTTAAATCCTAAAGTTCTAACAATTTAATAGTACCTAAATTAATAAGTTATTGAATATTGTAATAATACTATAATTAACCTTGTAATTGATTACTTTATTTTACTTTAACTCGTATTAATTTGTATTTATAAATACATCTTTAAGACTTCCGATGTAGGAATGAGTTTTCAATAATAATAAAGCACTAAATAGGTAAATTTCTGAAATGACAACTTCATTTGACAGTTATCTTTTACCTTGACTGGTGCTCATAAGTAAATACAGGGCCATAAGAAAGAAGAAATATTTAAAAAGAAATCGGCGATAACTCGTAAACGAGCTAATCAAAAATATCTAAATTTATTCTTTTGTATGGAGTATACAAATAGAATTATTCTCTAAAAAATAGAATTATTCTCTAAAAAATAGAATTATTCTCTAAAAAATAGAATTATTCTCTAAAAAATAGAATTATTCTCTAAAATAATTATAGGGAAGCTAATAATTGACCCCATTAAAATTTACATGGGATTTCCTATGCCCCGTCCGACGATGCAACACCCTGTATGTATCCGATGAACGGAGGCATGAAGTGAAAATGCAATAAATTTAAAAACTGCATAATTTTCTAACCAATCGAAACCTTTAAATTCAACCAATAAAATTAATATTGTATCATTGTTTCGTCGGACAACGGATGCATGAAAATCAAGCTTTAAAAATGACTAATTGTAATTTATAAGTAGATTTTTGTTTATTTTTTATGACAGCTGAGTTATTTTCTTTAAACCTCAACCAAAGACATCGACATTTTATACTTTATACCATGTTTATACTTACTATCAAAATCAGGTATATTACAGATACGGATTCCCAAAAAGAGTTAGGCTATCCAAATCAATCATTAATTGACAGTATTATTATACTTGACAGCTTATTTTACTTATTCGAGTGAAAAAAATCGTAATCTTTTACAACACTTATACAAAATGCCTCCAAAACAAAACCTGACACCAGAGGAGCGCAAAGAATTGAAACTGGCCAAAAAAGCGGAGAAAAAACTGAAGCAAATCGAGAAAAAGAAGCAACTGAAACGCGACCAGCTGGAAAGAGAACTGCAGTACGGATGGGTGACTTTGAGGAAACACGACCAGAATTGGAGGAGGATGCTGATGGACATCAAAGTGGTCGAAATGAGGAAGGACCTGGAATTTGCCTGGCACAATTTCGAGAGGGTGATAGACTGCAAGGACTTCACCATTTCTTTGTTGATGGATGAGCTGGACAAGGCGAATTGGCAGTATTTTTTTAACTTGAAAACGCACTCTGAACAAATCGATAATTTGATTCGGATGTTTGAGGATATGGTTCATGAACTGGACACTGATTTTAACAATCAGGTAAACTCATAAATTATTTCGAATTGTATATATATAGTTGGGGAGCACAACGTATAAAAATAGCTTCCCGTGGGAAACTTCATGAAGGGAAGATGCCAGTGGACTTGTTTTATCAGAAAAATTATGTATTCCATTAATTTTTATGGTGACACCGTCACAGATGTTGCGTTTGTTTGGAGTGCGTTAAACAAAATGGCCGCCATAGCAATATAGACAATGTGCGCTATCGTCGCCGCTATTTAACCGATTTCAATTTTTTTTAGCTTGTTAGAAAGGTAATGTAAAGAGGAAAACAATTAATTCTTGAAAGTATTGCAAAAAATAATATTCTGGTTGCTGGTTGGATTTAAAGTGAAAAAATTGAAAAATATTGTGTTATATTATTTTTACCAAAATAAAATATGATCTACGTTATATGAGTTCATGTATTTAAAAAAAATTAAGAGATACATTTGCACATATATATTAATAAAATTACAAATCGGCATCATCACTATCAACTTCATCACTACCTTCGTCGGCAAAATCAGGCGGATGCAAATTATCACAAGCTGATTGGTCCGCATTACAACTACACATTTCTGTGCAAGGCATATTGTTTGCTAAACATTTACATGGTGGTGAACATCGATTTTTGAGACACGAACATCTAATCAGTTGAAGAAGAGACTCTGGAGCACATGGTTCTTCACACATAACAGGGGTAAGCAATCCCTCTTCCAAATACCAGCCGTGTCCAACTGGATTAAGGATGACTGCATTTGGTTCATCATCTTTTGACCACATAAACGCTTGCTAACCTTCAAGCCTTTGTGTGGTCAAAAGATGTATTTAACTCTCTTAATTGCAGGTACAAGGGAACCTCTAGTGGGGGTAACTTATATCCAAGGGCTTGTTTGGCAGTAAATATTGACCATCGTAATTCTGCAAGTGATTTTGTTAGAGTGCTTGCTTTATAAACTCGAGAAATATATATTTCTAGCTCATGCAAAACATCAGGTACTATCGCTGAAAGAAATGCCTTCCACTATGACAACTTTCCTTTTCCAAACAAACTTCCGGTGGTGTCACAACCAGATATTGCATGGAACCCGGGCAGTGCTGAAGATTTTAATGGTCCGAGTGAAGTATATATGTTTTTAACTGATATTGCCTCGCCTGACGATGGTACAAAAAAGGTGTTTTGGGGAAGCCTTGCATAGCGCCTCACTAGCAAAACTAAAATATCTGTATCATTAACAAATACCAGTATCTAGTGTAACTAACTTTCGCATTAATAGCATAAAGTATAATTTTTGTGTCGGCTTCTTCTTAAGTACTCTTTAAACAATCCAAAGAGCAGTGCGTCGCAGAAACTTCAGTGCGCCATGAAACAACATATTTTTTTGCTGATATCTTGGCATGACTTGGCTGAATTGTATGTGCAAGATAGGTGGTTAATTCATCCTTGGTACGAGTATGTGACAACAACTTTTTCAAATTTATATTTGATATGTCAGTTGTGTCACATATTTTGTACTGTGTTGTGACACCGTCATGAAGCCTCTTATCCCTAGTAAGGTTTTTATTGACTCGTCCAAGTACGTGTCGAAAATAACATGAAGTTCATCATATTGCCGGTATTTCCTTTGGATCTTTTGGGCGAACAAATCTGCAAGATCTTTACAAGTTTTCACTGCGCTAGTCTTACATACTCAAAATATATTCCAAAAAATGACACTGATGGCATAAAATAATCTGTTTTTAGCTTAAGATGAAATATCGACGAATCTATAATTTTCTCGCAATGCATGTTAGAAATATTTTTTTCAGCTAGTACAAATACCTTTCGATCAAAATAAGATAAATTGGAATCGGTTCAGCAGGGACCGAGATATGCCACTTGGTTCATAATGAAGCGACGGTCATCTTGGATGAAGTCATCATAGCCACACGCAACATCTGTGAAAGTGTCACCATCGACATTATTCGACTACATATTTTTATCTATCGATTAGTACCACTAATACCTTCCATTCATTAACTTTCCCACGGGACACACAATGTTTCCGTACTAATAATTATATCACTAGCAGTGACGGTTCCTCTATAAGTTGACATGTGCACGTAAGCCCCCAAATGTATTACTCTTCTTAGGATCAAGAACTAATTTAAATTTTATCATTCTTTCATTAATTCTATGTACAGGGTGGGCCAAATTGGCCACTTTTAAAGAAAAACACCCTCTTCTATAAAGGAAATAGACGATAATTAATATCAGTGTTTGGAACTCAATATTTATAAAAAACATGAGTTACAATGTGTTTTTCAAAAATGTGCATTTTTATCAAATCGCTTTAAATTTTTTGCCGTGGAAAATTTTGTATTTTTCTGAAAACATTTCCAAAGCACCTTTTTGCGTATAATTTAATGGTTTAAGTATAATTCTTTTAAAATTAATAATTTAAAAGTTATCAACAAAAAAAATAATTTTTTATTTGGGCCACCATGTATATTTTTAATTATCTTAAAAGAACTTAAAATTATCTTTCCAAAAATACAGCATACTTGCTATTTTGTTACAGTTCCTTGTTACTCCTTCGAAATACAGAATTTTTAAAAGTTTTTCACGTTTAACTGCTAGGTTTTGGACCCCTTATTAATGATCTGCAGCTAATGGAACTCAAAAACATATTTTTCCAAGTCGTCAGCAATTTTTTGCAGCCCATTTCGAGAATAATTGAATAGCTAACCAACAGGGCCTATTTTTCATTTGGTCGGGCCCTAAGGCCCAAGCAAAAATTCGGGCCCTCTTTTCCAATAAAATTCAAAAATTCTTTTGTTAGTTTGGGTTAAAAAAATAAAGACCCAAGGCCAAGGCCCCCCTTAAAATCTATAAATTGGGTTAAATATTAGGCTTTTGGGTTAAAAATGGCGCTCTAAAAAGCATTTTCTACATTACCTTTAATTTGGCCCCCCCTAAAATAAATTCCTCTATCCGCCCCTGAGTGGCCCCACATACAGCATAGCGTAGTGACGCGTATTTGCTCACACTTTACGCACTGAGTCCTCTCCGCCATACGCTACGCTATCAGCTTTATTTTGGACCACGGCCTTAATAATGATTTTTTTTAAATTAGGACAAATTTACCATATTTTGTTCATATTGACGTTCTAGGTTGACGAATTACACAAAGAACATCAGAAAAACGTCGAAGAAATGAAACTGTCAACCACCGAAGAAGAAAACTACCTGAAAACGATGATCCACATTCTGAATGCGGAAATGAAAGAAGTGAAACGCACCAGACGCGCCGAGTACTTCTCCAAATTGGAGGAAGAAGACTCTAAACAAAATCAAATAGTCCATAGGGTCAGGGGTATTTTAGAACAACAACATCTTCAAGTCTGGCTGGAAACGGTAACATTCCTGGAAGAATACAAGGAACGCATTAAAGAGAGAAAAAAGGAGCATAATAGTTTGAAAATCCAAGATGATCAGTTACAGGACGTAATTAAAAAACAACTGGACAGTATCAGGAGAGCATTCAATACAATCAGGAGTCTAAAGGTTAAACAGGCCGAACAAGAGAAATTTCTCGGAAGAAAACTGGGAGATCTTCAATCAGAGTTCGATTTCTTCACGCTGGCCTTCAATACCCTAAAGAATAAACTTGCCAAAGATAGAAAACTGGATTTCCAAAAACTGAACTGCCTAACTTTGAACTATCACGACGTGATTTCCTATTTTGAAGACTTAGAAACCGAAGGAAAGCATCTTTTGCATGTTGGCGCAGTTTGTAGGAAACTTGAAACGCTGAGCGAGAAAATACTAGCTTTTCCTGTAAATTTCCTAACTGAAATGTCAAAGGTCAGTGCCGAAAATGTGGAAGAGTACATAAGTTCCTTAGACCTGTTTTGGCAACGCGTTGGTCAAGCAGATACCCTCAGGTATGCCGTCAACGAAGAACGGGAGTTTCTGATAACGGAAAATGAGATACTTAAAAGAAGATTGCACAAATATTGTCAGTGTTTGCAGTGTCCCGACTACCAACCTTTTAAAACAATGCAATCTGAAAAAAGTATGTATGTGACAGAAGGAACATTAGAACTGAAGAAGTACGCCAAGCAGCTTAATGTTAGAGAGTCCCTAGAGGAATCTGTGAACGAGTATTGTTTTGATTTACACAACTGGATTAAGTTTGATGTAAATGTCAAAAAAGAGGATGATGATAAACAAATAAATGGCAAAGAAATTTATTAGCATACATTTATTAATATATTTTACCTTATAAAAAATACATTACGAAATCATTATAGGGTGAATATGCCAGTAGTCGGATATACACGAGTGGTCGAACAAAACTTATTTATTGGGAAATAAGTTAAAAATATGGCTTAGTATTGCTGCAAATAATTAAAAACCCAATTCTGCCAATCCTTCCGCTTTTTCCTAAACATTTTCTTTACCTATAATTGGCACCCTGAAACCGTTAAAAATTCGAGAAAGTGGCCATAATATGTTTGTGCTTCCTAATTTTTGCCTGTTAAAGATGGAGTTGAGATAGTTTGTAAAATAAATTAAACATTTTGTATCTAATTTATGAAGTACTTATAACTTTACGTGTATACAGGGTGCTGCAAATTCGAGGTACGAGCACTGGTATCTCGGAATCCGTAATAGATACGAAGATAGTTAAATTGGGGCAAAGTTGCGCCTTGTGATGTTCACCAAGATGCCATTAAAAAAGTTTTAAAAATTTCCAGGGTTGCTGAGTTTTTTGGAAAAAACGGATTTTTTTCAAAATCAATTTTATTTTTTCCTGTCTTTACTTTTTAGAAAATCAAAAAACCAATTGCATATTCTCATAGCCACTTTATTAGGGCTATCTAATAGTGTTTTTAGATTTTCAAATTAGCTGATAATTTGTGAGATACAGAGGTCAACTTATTTTTTTTAAATGCAGGTCTGCATTTAAAAAAATTAAGTCGGCCTCTGTATCTCACAAATTATCAGCTATTTTGAAAATATAAAAATACATTTTGAAAACCTTTTTGATGGTATCTTAGTGAACATCCCAAAGCGCAACTTTGCCCCAATTTAACCATCTTCGTATCTATTACGGTTATCGAGATACCAATGCTCGTACCCCGAATGTGTAGCACCCTGTATAGAATAGTCTAAACTTTTATTTTAAATAACAAAATAGGATACTTTTTAATATTTAATGTTAATTTATGTGTCCGATAAACTCATATATAATTTTGTTGGAACTGGAAAAATAACTCTTTTGTTTTAGTCTTTTTTCTTGATAATTGATATGTAATATCTACTGTCTTTTTCGTTTGAAATCTAATGAAACGTGAGTTTTTGGTAGTGTTTAGTGGTCGGACAGCAAAAATTCAACACAAACGCAGATCAAAGGAAATAAAAGTTGTCCGACCACTGGTCAATGCTAAATTAAATATATTTTTTGAGAGGTCGGACAGTAGCCTCTTTTCGACGTCATATTGCAGGGTTCAGACTGATTTTTTATGAGATTTTGGAAAATACGGTATATAATGTTCAAGATAAATTTGCTTTAAAATTATACATATATTAAATATGGGACTGTGCAGAATCAGCCAATCATAAAGTGTCCGACTTCTGGTAACTACCCGGCCAGACACTGCCAAGCGCTGTCTGATTACTGACAAAACAGCACTTTTACCACTTAAAAATACAATTAAAATCATTGGTAGGTTTACAAAAAAAACTGTTATATTTAACATAAAGCCCAATAACCACACTATCTATTTCATAAAATTTCATTTCCATGCCATCAATAAAGAAAATTTAATCAACGATTTAAAGTCAACTTTTTTAAACGATCCGACCACCGGCTAATTCACCCCACATATATATTTATGTCTTAAAGAATAAATATTGAAATATACTTATATTAAAAAATAATCCTTATAATGCTTATAAACACAGTAAGATGCTTTTCATAAAAACCAATATTATATAGGTACCGTATAATCGAAAAAAAAAACGGCGTCAGCGATGGCTATGAAATGAAGATAACTGTCATTTTATAAGAGAAATGTCATCGATCATCATTTCCCAGCCAACTGGACGCCGTTTTTTTTCGAGCATATGGTATTTTATGAGTAATTAATATAAATAAAAATTAAACAGAAGCGTGAGGTGGATTGTATCCAATTCGGTTGTATACTTCCTGTTTACTTTTAGGACCAGTTTGGAAGGAAGGTAAGTCTGAGGCAAGACTTTTTTGTAACTTCTCTTGTCGTATCTAGAAATGTATGCTTTTATTTACTAAACTATAACAAAGTTTACATTTGTTTGTTTTTCTCCTTCAAACCGCTCAAACGTACAGCTTATATGAATTATGTATCAAACACATTGCAAGTCCCAGAAAAAAAAATGAAACAAGAAATAAATAGTTGTTTTTAGTCATACCTTTCTGATATGTTGTTCATATTCTGTAATATCATCTAATTTAGGTTCAATAGCTGTTGGAACCCTACGCAACATTTTGATTAAAATTGTGAATCGTTAATAAATAATTTGATACCAGTTCAATATCAACAAATAATTAACAACAAACCTATGCAACAAATTATTTAAAGTTGACATTAAAATAAAGGGTTAGAATCATGTGGGCCATAGATAAAGAAAATAAAAAAGATCATAGAGGCTAGAATTCGGGATGGGCGATAATCATCGATATTAAACAGATATCGATATTTATCACGATTTTAAGGGAACTAATATCCAGGGTTCGGAAAACTACATGATACTTTTAAAAACTACATAAACTACATTACATGTAGTTAATGTAGTTTACGTAGAGGGTGTAGTTTATGTAACCTATGTATGTAACTTTCAAATATCAAAGGTTTGAGGTGAGGTTATAATAAGTTGAAGCTTTAAAAACACATAATATATTTAAGAAAACAGAAGAAATATGGCTTTAAATATAATATTTACATCATATTATCTCTATTACACCTCATACAAATGAAAATTATTCATAATATCAATACATAGTTTATTAACGTAGTTTTCATGTAGTTAATGAACGGGAAAAGACGTAGTTTTTGAAGAAAAACGACACGTAGTTAATCAAGTAAATTACGTCTTAATTAACTACTTCCGAACCCTGCTAATATCGGTAATATCCAGAGTAATATCAGGCCAAATATTTGTTGTTTCCTCTATTTTTCGTTTTAGCAAGTGAAAAATTTGTGGTAATGGTGTGGATCCGGTGGCTGACCTTGAAACGAGTTTTTGCTGCATATAGTCACAGACACTACGCATGCGCACATCTTCGATGTTGCCAGATTGTGAATTATTTTGGAATTATTTTCAGTAGAAAACAAATATGTGCTTTTCAGTGTTTTTTTTGTCAATATATACCATATGGTCGAAAAAACGGCGTCCAGTTGTCTGGGAAATGACGATTGAGGACATTTCCATAAAATGACAGCGATCTTCATTTCATAGTCATTGCTGACGCTATTTTTTTTTCAATCATAGTACGCGGTATATTATTTTAATATTTCGCACAACACGTGAATGCTTATTATGTATTTTCAGTCAATAAAATTATATAGAAATAAAACTCTAGATTCCTATCTAGATTATTATGCTACGTTTAAAAAGTGCTTTATTAAAAATTCGGGAAATTAAAGGGATGTGTCCAAAATTTTTTTTTTTTTAATTTTTAAATGCTGTAGCTCCATGTTATGTTCATAATAGATTTTTTAACATTCCATCAAAACTACGGAGGCCTTAAAAGGCCTTTTAGCCTCCGTAATTAAAATTGTAGAATCAGCTTCAGCAACATTAACAGTTACCTTGTTTAATTCTGTCTATACATATATTGCATTAATTTTTCTGCTACATTAAGATTTCTCTATTCTTACACCTAATTTATGTGATTTTCTTAGCATATATGATTTATAAACCATATTTTTCCTAATGGAAGGATGAATAGGATATGCAAAATTAAGATATTTTAACATTTATTTTCCAGACCAAGCATAATATAGTATTAAGATGAAGACATAACAAATATTATAAGAAAGATCTTAATATAAATCACAAACTAAGTCTTAATTTAGTCTTGTATTTCTATTATTATTATTATTCTTATAAAACTAATAAGATCAAAACTCAACCTTCACCATATTGTCAAGATTTGGCATTATAGGAAACAAGAAATTACAGTAAATTAAGAAAAGAATAACAAAGTACACGATATTAAATACTGTAATGTATTTTACGATACAAACCATCTCCCTTCTAAAGAGAAAAAGATAAAACATAAAGCTTATTTTAGTCTTATCAACACACTCTTCGATAAAATCCACTAACTTGATATCTATGCTTGATATTTTTAAGAAATTATGATACAAACATTAATTATAATCAAAGTATATTATATTAGTAACATTATATAATAGGTAAAATGTTACCTCTATCTCCGATTGACGTTTATTGTTCTATAATAAGACCCGTCATGGTAGTACTTCAAAACATCAATACATGCATATAATCAAAAATATTGTTGCCTGTAAATAACTAGAAATTAAATAACTTGAAAGAAATAAAATAATTCTAATAAGTTTAAAACCATTAAGAAAAAATCCGTAAATGATAAATTTTAATTCTAATGTAAACATATAAATAAATGTTATTATTTTACAATTTTATATATTATAATACTTTCATTTCACAATCTTCATTATTCTTCTTACCTTAATTTTGGATATCAAGATAAATCTGAAATTATAGAATTTGTATTATTATTGATTAACACGCAAAAAAAAATTTCAACTGCAAATAATTCGAAAATAAACTGCAATTTGGCAACATCGACGATGTGCGCTTGCGTAGTATCGATGATCAAAAGCAGCAAATATGGGCTTCAAGGTCAGCCACCGGATCCACACCTTTACCAAATTTGTTTTTTTTTATAAATTTCGATGTAATGTTTAAATTATATATTTTTGACGATAAAATATATCTGGCTATTAGTGGCTATTGGCTATCTATATAAAATTTATGGTCTAAGGTCTAGCAGGACATGACTTTTGTTTTTGTTTTGGTAGTTTTAAAAATGGCCTCCGGTCAAGATTGGTTTAACGCGAAAGTATCGAGTTTATTACAAGAAGATCTACGAGTTTCCACTTTAACTGAACTAAAAGACCATCTCACATCTTTACCCCATAACGAAGCCTCCCATATATCCAATGTCCTTCAGCTAGCCCTAGTTTTCGATTGTTTAAACGACACAAACACGTAAGTTAACCTCAAAACTGCTGTGTTGTTACAGTTAAAATATGTAATATTTTAATAGTTCTTCTAAGAAAAAGGCCGACTTTTTACAGGGAACAAGTGGATTTGGCCTGTGACGTGCTCTCGTTATGTCTGAGCAATTTAACTCTAGGTGAAAGCACCATCCGTTATGGTAATGCTTTGGAAAGAGCCCTAATTCACCCATATTCTGGAGTAAAATTGATGGCATTAAAGGAAATCAAAAGGTCTTTATTAAACGAGGAAGTTATATACAACCTTTGTGATAAAACAGCTTTAGTAATAAACATAATAACTTGTTTAAAAGATGAGGACTTAGCAGTAGCAAAAGAAGCTTCTGATATTATATTTACATTGGGAATTACTATTCCAGGAGCTAATCGAATAACGGCTAATGAAATTTTAGTACCTTTAGAAGGTATTTTGAATACAAATGAAGTGGTACGGTTGAGAGTCTATGAGGTAAGCAAAAATCTTCTATGCTATACCTATATTTATTCTAAAAAAGCTCCATATTACTTTCCTAATTTACATTTTTATTCAATCTGTTTTCCAGAATATGAAATGATATGTAAAAAAAGTTAGTATTTTATTATAGCGATTTGATAAATACATTTTATATTGAGAATTCATCCTTATACAACAATTTTCTGGTTAAGAATATACATTCTCAGCGATTTGATAAATACTTTCTTATTAATTTGTCTCTATAAAACATAAACATTTTAAAAACATTGTATAAAACTAAAAAGTGCTTCTGTAAAATTTTTAAAACTGTTGGAGTCAAAAGTCTCAAATAGGAAACATGATATGGAACATTTTTTATTGGGCTACCCTGTATATTTTTTTAGGCTGTTGTTAGGATTTGTGTAGAAAGCGACTATAGTTTTCAAAAATTTATCAAAGTAGGATTTATTCATCGAATATTAGCAGAACTAAAAAGTAACGATGTACTACTTAAAATAAATATTATTGAAATTTTATCATACTTGGGACAATGTGATCATGGCTATGTATTCCTTGACCAAAATGGAACATTAAATAATATCGTTGGTTTCATGAATGAGGATGATTTAACCATGCAACTTTGTCAACCAGGTGCATACAAAGAAAATAATCTTAAGGAAATTTCTTTAAAAAAATCTATTTTTAAGGTATTTTACGATTTTTCGGACATGTTGCTCATAAAAAGCCTTTAGATTTTTTTAAAAAATATCCAGTGGTTATTGAGAGACTGTACTCAAATTTGAATATTGAAGATATGACGGTTCTTGGTGTGTCTTTGGATACAATTGGATATATTGGACAGACAAATGAAGGAAAACTAGCATTACAATCCACAGGTTCGTAGTTTGTTTGTGTATTATAAGCTACCACACTATCGAAAAAAATGGCGTCTAAGATGGCTTTGAACTGAAGATCACTCTCATTTTGTATATAAAATTATATGAGAAATGTTATTGATCGTCATTTGCACACCAACTAGACAATTTAATATTTTCAAAAAATGAAATATTTTCAAAAAATGAAATATTTTTTACAATATTCCATATTTTAGAAATGTTTAAACCAAATTTGGTTCGAACTATTGATATATCGTTAGGTACCAATATACAGGGTGTCCCAGAAATAAGCGCAGATATTTTAAGGGGTGGTAGATCTGGTCAAAAAAACATCTTTTCTCTTTATCTCGCATTGTTCGACGCCCAGTGTTGACACATGGACTAAAATATTTATAGACGACATGGAGAATTCAGATTAAAAGTAAAAAGCTTACCTAATATTAGAAAATGAGACTCGGATAGATAGCAGATCGATATAATTAGGTTGGAGCGATGTTTTATCGCTTTACCTAAAAACGCAACTCTACACTTAACAACACTTCATTTCGCTTAGATTCTTGACAGAACTACAAAATATCCACCTGTATTAGGCATAAAATACATTCATAGTATATCACTTGACATCACTCACACTCTTGTTTTTGTGAATAAACACCAAAATAATAATTGATATTTCTATTTCAATAATAAAAGGATTTTTTATCTTACGTTTGCCAATTTTTTTTAGTTTTGTCAGAGATTTACTGTTTTGAGTAAAATATCAAATGCATGGAGGAATAAGAGAGGGGAGATGCTACTACACGTATTTCTGTAGGATAAAAACAGTCTCACTTCATTGTTTGGGCGGGGCAAAAAGTGTACCCTTTGGGGTGATTAGGTAAAACTTCAAACAATAAAAGCAAACAATGATTAAAATTTGCCTTGAGCTAATGTAAAATCAGATAGTCATCATTGCACGGGTGAAACATGAAGGCACCCTGTGTGATATTATCCAAAGAGGACTCCGCATCGCTGAGAGATGGTGCAGGACTGTCGGACTGAGTATTAACTCAGATAAAACCGCAGTAGTGCCATTCACCAGAAAGCGAAGTTTGAAAAACTTGAAAAGAATCCATCTAGATGGAAAGGAAATACTGCCATCACAGGAAGTGAAATATCTGGAATAACCCTGGATAGTAAACTTCTCTGGAACAGGCATATTAAGAACATTACCAGCAAAGCCAGCAAGGCTCTTATGATATGCAGAAGACTGGCGGGAAATAGGTGGGGCTGCGCCCCTAACATTTTGCGCTGGATGTATACCATGATACTAAGACCCATGATTACTTATGGAGCAGTTACTTGGTATACAAAACTAGAGCAACGTACACCAAGGCAAAACCTGTGCAAAGTACTGGCATGTATTTGCATCACAGGTGCCATGAGAACATGTCCAACAGCAGCAATGGAGGTCATTCTAGACCTAACACAACTGCACATTGTCGTCGGTAGTTATGCCAATGCGACAATGATTAGAATGGTCATTGACGGAAACAGTACTGGGAGAATTTTCAGGTCAGGGGCTTGGAACACCCTCAAAAAGAAAATTCCACTTCTCCAGCTCCCAGTGGATGACATACCAAGAATTTACAACTTCGAGAAACACCTCACTGTAGTATTGAGTAATAAAAAGGATTGGAAGAAAGAAACGCTTACTCAGCATATAAAAGACCATACCATCACGTGGATGCTTCCAAAACCAAAACAGGGACAGGGATAGGAGTATTTGGGCCGAAAACTAAATACTCCGAACCAATGGGCACCTACCCCAGTATCCTTCAGGCAGAAATTTACGCTATCGAAAGATGCGTACAATTTATCTTAGATAGGAACTATCGAAAACAGGAAATTGCCATCCTATCCGATAGTCAAGCAGCACTTAACGCGATCAACTCAGTAACCATCAATTCGAAGTTGGTCAAAGAATGCCTAGAGAAGCTCAACAAATTAAGCAAAGAAAATAAAGTCCTCCTACTCTGGGTGCCTGCTCATCAAGGGATAGAAGGCAATGAAAAAGCAAATGATCTAGATAGGAAAGGAGCGAACACTCCACTAACTGGACCAGAACCGTTCTGTTTTCCAAACGGGGACCAACTGAAAGCGGAACTGAAGAATCTGGAAGACTCCATCCATAACTTTGAATGGGTGTCCTCCAACGGTTTAAAACACTCGAAAAAGTTCCTCAGAACTTACGACCGAGAAAAATCAAAGGTTTTCCTTGATTTAATTAAAAACAATCTTCGGATTGTCACTGGGTTTCTAATAGGACACTGTCTCCTCAACGAACACCTCAGTAGGCTGAAGCTGAAAAACAAAAGATGTATAAAGATTCTGTGGGGAAAATAGGGAAACACCAGAACACCTTATCACTGAGTGCGCCGAGACGACGACCATTCGTGCCATGAACTTTGGTACGGCTGATGTCGAGGATGGAGAGCTGGCCTCGGTGGAGCCGTCTCAGATACTGGCTTTTGTTAAAGCCCTGAGACTGTATGATGAGTTATAACTCGTTATAACTCAAGAAAGGGAAACACACAATAGATCTATAAGGTCGCGGTGATTAACTCCCCTCCTAAACATTCTACATTCTAATGTAAAATCATGATTTAATATTAATCGATTGTATCGCAATGAACAAATTACTTGGCACTACTACACCAAACTTAAAATAGGCATAAAATACTAATTAATGTTCATTCGTTAAATCGGTCGTTACGGACCTGCACGCTGTTTATGTTACCTGTGAAATGTTACGCCGGCCGGTGAGTTTCTGCGAGTCGATACCTTTCCTGCTCCTATAACTGCGTACAGCACACGACACCATGATTTTTAATGTTTTTGTAATAGAAAACATTCAAATTATCGATGAAAAACATTAAATTTTGAGAAAAATGCACAAATTACAAAAAGTACCACAATCAAATATGGCTGGCGGCTAGGTGAACCTCTTTTCACAACAGCTGTAGCGCCTCCCCTCTCTTACTCCTCCATGATCAAATGTATTGGATAACCTATAATTCATCAGCTGATCTATTCAAATGTAGGTCAAACGTTGACCCGAAACGTTATCTAATAGAGGGCGCTGATTGGAATAATTCGACAAGAAGCCAAAGAAAAGTGAAAAAATATTTGATTTATTTTATTCAGATGATGTTCAGTATCATTGGACTCATCGGTGGGGGACTATGCGTCTTGAGGTCTGTTCCCAGAAGAATTCCTGACTAGTCAGCACGTTTCTCATTGGTTAAAATGCATAGAAACCTGATTGTTAGTCTGGTTTCTACACATTTCAACCAATAAGAAACGCGCTGACTAGTCAGGGATTCTTCTGGGAACAGGGCCTTGGTGTAATTTTAATCTAGGAATATTTATATCATAAATTAATACGGTTCAAAGTTGTGTAAAGAAAGTTTTTAATGTATTTATGTAGAATTGTTTGATGTGTAAAAGTTAAAATAATATTCTGCTAAAAGTTATAATCTGTGATGTTCAGTTTAATAGATACATATTATGTGGATGGGCACGTGTTTGCGTAAGATATGTTGGATATAAAATACTGTTAAGAGTAAGCACAGTATTTCGTAATATAGCGAAAAAAAACTTCTATAATTATTCAATATTTAGAGTTTCATTATTTCAGTTTACTTAACTGTAGAAGAGGTATTCAAAATATTAGACGTTGCACCATACCTAATATTAATCTACAGTGATTAAAAATTTACAATGAATAAAATTAATTTAAGTATTGTTTTTTGTTGAAATTTAAAAATGTCTAACTTATAACTTACAGAATGTGGATAACGTAGGAGGTGGTAACATTGCATTCACCCGAAGCACTATAAACAAATTTTCCGAAACTGAACAAGCGGCAATCAAGTTTTTCAATATTTTCCGGAAAATTTTAAGAAACCTAAAATGTTTCATATTTTTTTTCGCAAAAAAACTCATAGGCGTGTGTCTGGGGTCGAATTATACTACCAGTTAAAATATTATTTGCACTTATTTCTGGGACACCGTGCATAGTGTGATCCACCAAGTATGCAACATACGGGAATTTTTTTTATTAAAAGCCCTATCCAAATGGGAATACTGTCAAATGTTAATGCATGTCCGATAATCATATCAGCAGTACTTATGTAGATTTATAAACTCACAGTTGGATTTGGCTTTGGCGCCGCGGCCCAATTCTTAAAACTGTATATTACCATAAGAGCATTTATAAACACGGTTGGCTTTGGCTTTGGCGACCGGTTGCCGTCGGACTTGAATTATGTTTAAATGACTGCAAGCAAAGTCAAACAACCTACAGGGTAGGCCAAAAATACGAAAATCATTCAAGAGTAAAGTACCTTGTATAACTATTTCTAACATATTGAGCTTCAATTAGCGATGTATCTAGCATAATATGAAGAAATTATTTGGGAAATACACTAAACATAAATTATGTACTCTTACAACAGTAATTACTTAGGTAATTATAAAAAAAGTAAAAGCCTCTGTCTCTGTAGATTATAAGGGCCTACCTCAGTCAGTTAAAGAATAATTAAATCTTGTCTGATTTTAGATAATTTCAACACGAGTATACGCGGAACATTCACTATACGACGCTTCAAAATTTTCTGATAAATTTTCATATTCCGCATAAGAGGCTGTGACTTTGTATTTAGGCTTATCTTTTAATCCCAAACAACTTTTCTAAATTAATTTAAATAAAGATACTTTACTCTTTTTTTATTAATCTTTTTTGAAAGATATTTGTATTTTTCTCCTACCCTGACGGTTTGTCGATAGGTATGGTTATATTTTTTTTTCAATGTCGAAAAATATGTCGATAATTTTGAAGTAACATATTGTTATGCGATATATTCATAACTATCGATAGTTATCCCTAGTACTGATTTCAAACAAAACCCATCCCTAGTATTGATTTCACATATTTTTTCCTATTTCTTAAGAACGTTCTGACAAAAAGATTATTTTACTATTATTATCCAACTTGATGTTTTTTTTTCGTTAAAATATTCTAGGAAATAGGATAGAAGTGGCTATAAAAAATATTTCATCAAAACTGAGTTCACTTCCAACTGAGACAAGAATAAGGGCTCTCAACTGCCTTGAAAACCTGTTAAGAGTCGTTGATAATAATAATGAGATAGTTTCTCTATCGAGAGAATGGTATGGTATTATAGATACAGATCCTATGGATATCATTTTGCGATACGCAAAGAACCCATTTTCAGAATTAAAAGTGGCCGGGCTGGGAATACTTAATTCTATTGCTGGTCAAGAATGGGGACAGGAATGCATCAAAAATACTCCAGGTATATACAGGGTGTGCCATATAAAGTGTAACCAATGGGAAACATTTTTTACTGAGTTATTGATAGATAAAAAATCGCCATTAGCAACAAGTCCCGATTTGTTGCTAACTTTTTTATACACCCTATACAGGGTGGTCCAATTGTATTCAGGAAACTGCGGCAGCATATTCTGCAGATAAAAATAAGTAAAAAAGTTCATATAAAATGTATGTCCTAAAATGCTTTATTTCTATAACTAATGTCGATATTTGGATGAACATTATATACTGGCTTTGTATCGAGTATCTCACATTAAAATCGTATTTCAATTTGTTTCATTCTATGATCGCTTGCGTTCGTCGCTCGTAAATCGTCACTTGCATCGCTCGTTCATAATCGAGCGATGTCGGTTATTTCAATAATCCAGTACTCGAGCGAATTTTCCCATCACTGATATTTACATATATATTTTTAATACCTCCACACCTACCAGATCGCACAGAAATGAATTATCCCAGACAAATTCAAATGAAGCCGAAACAGAGTACCGTATAGCGCGCAGTACCTTTAAGAAGAAGATTCTGAAATCAAAAGAGCAGTTATGGAGAGACATGTTAGACAATTTGGAAGAGGACATTTGGGGACAGGCATACAAGATCGTAACCAAGAAAATAAAGGTCAGACGTGCGATTCATAAAAAGACGCAGCTGCAAGAAGCGCAGAGGTTGTTTCCCAAGGGTGAGAGTATTAAATGGACCAAGGTACATTATGATCACTTCCCCCTAATTACTGATGAAGACATACAAAACTCAGCACGAAATCTTAAACGAGGAAAGGCACCGGGGCCGGATGGCATACCGGTCGAGGTTGTCCAAATCTTGGCCGAGGAACAACCCAAAATTATCTCCAACCTCTTTAATGACCTCATCAAGGCTGCTAACTTCCCACAAACATGGAAATGTGCACAATTAGTACTTGTCGAAAAGCCAAAAAAGGAAGCTGATAAACCTTTATACCGACCTATATGCTTATTGGATTCTATGGGTAAACTTCTGGAAATGACCCTAAAGACGAAATTGGAAGAAGAAATAGAACAAAAAGGAGGTTTGAATAAGAGACAATTTGGTTTTAGAAAAGGAATGAGTACAGTAGATCCACTTAGTAAGGTTACAAAAATGATTAAAAATCTGAAGGACATTAGCTTCACAAACAGGGACGTGATGCTGCTTATAACATTAGATGTTAAAAATGCTTTCAACACAGCATCCTGGAAAGTAATAATAAATGAACTCACGTCATACTGGAATGTTAGCCAGTATTTAATTGAAGGCATCAAGAGTTATTTAAGTGATCGATCGATTCTGGTGGCCGACTGCGCCATGGAAATGACAAAAGGCGTGCCCCAGGGATCCATACTAGGTCCGCTTCTCTGGAATATTCTCTATGACGGACTTCTCAGGCTTCAATTCCCCTATGGAACTGAAGTACTGGCCTACGCTGATGACATTGCTTTAATTATTAGGGCTAGAAGCGCGGAGGAAATAATTGCGATAGCAGAACAGGCAACGTCCCAGGTATGTTCCTGGATGGAGGAGGTGGGATTGGAAATTGCCCCTCAAAAAACAGAATGTGTTGCACTCGTAGGAGGCCGCAAATTGTCAGGCCGAGGCATTTTAGTAAAGGACAAAGTCATTGTGCTTAAAAGCACAGTAAAATACCTGGGAGTAAGGCTGGAGGCTGGAGGTAACTTTACTAGACACATACGCACGGTTGCAGCGAAGGCAGAGAGGCAATGTATACTGCTATCAAAACTTATGCCGCACTGGTCCATTATGGGGGAAACCAAGCGCAGAATGTTGGCCGCCGTTCAGACGTCGACCATTCTGTATGCTTCCGTGGTCTGGGGAAGGGCCGTTGAAGTGAAGAAAAATAGGGAAAGGTTAAGGGCAGTTCAAATGCGATTGGCGCTGCGAATATGTCGAAGGTACCGTACTATATCAGCAGATGCGGCAAAAGTAATTAGTTGCATGATACCGATAGATCTTCTAATACAAGAGAGGATGCAGAGAAAGGCGTGTCCGGATAGATCGCGAGAGCATAACCGGGAAAAAATACTGAACACATGGAGCGACAGATAGAAACACAATATAGACGGGAAAGCGCAGTGGACAAGACAACTTATACCACATATAAGAAACTGGATAGATCGGAGCCATGGAGAAGTTACCTACGCTATGACACAATGTTTATCAGGACACGGATGCTTCAAGAATTATTTATATAAAATGAAACTTACCGATAGTCCAAAATGCAACTACGGTGACCACGATAACGACACAGCAGAGCACACAATCCTGGAGTGCAAAAGGTGGACCTATGAAAGAAATAAATTAATGGAGAGTCTAAATATAGAGAAACTAACTTACACTAACTTGGTTCCAACCATAGACTTAGAATAAAATATAGACTGAGCATCTCATTCATAAATAGCTGGAAGATGCGGACAGACAACGTCTTGTTATTGTTGTGTTATTGTTTTTGGCTCTAACGAGTGCGACACGAGCGATAGATAGGCTGTCTCCGTCGTAACGGTCGTTTCCTGACGGCTCTGCCGCCCAAGTATTATAGTTGCGTCTCGAGACGCCAAGACGGTCTTGGGCTCTTGAGAGCGGAATCCACAGAATACACGAGCAAACGTCATTTTGGAGATTGCGATTTTCATTTTGGAGATTGTCATGTTGGATAGTTTATGTGATCTGTGGATAGTTTCTTAACCTAACTTTTTTAGTAAACAAAATAAATCTTTTGTAAATCCGTTTTGTCTGATTAAACAGTTTTAAATATGTTAGATGAGTTTGAGAATATTTTGGACCATGTGGAAGAAGAAAATCGTCTTCGAGTTCCAAAACGATATATAAGGGATGCAGGAAATCCAATAGAAATGTTGCGAGGGGGAATTTAAATACCGATATAGGTTTAGCAAGGCTACAATTGCAGAGAATATTTTACCTCTTGTAATTGAGGACTTGCAAAAACCTACCAATCGTGGTTTACCTATTCCCCCCGTTATTCAATTATTAATTTGTTTACGGTTTTATGCGACTTCTAATTTTCAGATAGTAAGTGGAGACTTGCATGCTGTTAGCCAACCTATAATAAGCCAGATTATCAAGAGGGTGGCCATTTTAATAGCAGAGCATTTGAGTGAATTTGTGTGATACCTACAACCATAAATGGTTGAACAGCATTATTATTCCAATAGTGATGGGTTGTTATTTAACTATCTGTTATTTTATAACAATTATTTAGAAATAACATAACGCAACCGTTACTGCTTTTAAAAAATAACAGATATAAAATAACGACACGCAGAAATCGAGTGTTCGTGAAACGAAGTCGGCGCTCTGCACCGCCACGAAATTCGATGCTGCTCGAAGCAATTCCAAAAAACAACTAGTATGGATGGAAAACCTATTATTTCGACAACCATCGATACAGGCGGCGAGATACAACGGACAACGGAGTGGGGTATGCGCTACGGCGCGGCGCGTCGTGTTGGGCTGACAACAGCTTAAAAATAATAGGATATAAAAGAAGCAGCTTTTTTGAAACAGTTGCGGGCATAACGCCTGGCTGTCGAGATAACAGGAGTGGGAAAGGAGCGCTGCTGCATCGGTCGATTGTCGATGGAGGCTCGCAACGGGTTGGAGAATAACGCATCAGTTGTTTTAGCTATGTTGTTTTTTTACCTGTTACGAGCATAACAGAACGGCGTTCGAGATAATCGGAGGTTTGAAACAGGTTGGAGAATAACGCATCAGTTGTTTTAGATACATATTGTTTTTCAACCTGTTACGAGCATAACGGGCGGAGGTCGAGATATTATGGCGCTGTATGTTTCAATACTTTGTTATTAAGTTTCAATATTTAAGTATTTATTTATTCTGAAAAATTTTCAGAATAATATTTTAAGATTTTTTAAAAATGTATACAGGGTGTTTTGAAAAATCTGGTCATTGATTAATCACGATCCTGCTTAAAGCCCTTGACGTAAAAAGCTGATTTTTGGAAAACGGATTGACTTTAGGGTGTAGAGGTGCGATAAGAAGGGATTTTTCGAAACTCAAATTCTAAGGGGGTGAAACCACCCTCAAATATTAGAATATTTTTTATTTAAAAACTGGTGAGTTTTTCGAAAAAACTCTTAAACACGTATATTTTATTTTGTTGTTTTACATATTTTGAGATTTTTACAAAATATATACAGGGTGTTTCATAAAATATGACCACTGAGTAATCACTATTCTGCTTAAACTGCTTGACGTTTAAAGCTGATTTTTGGTAAACGGATTGACTGTGGGGTGTAGAGGTGCGATAAGGAGGGGTTTCTCGAATCTCAAATTCCAAGAGGGTGAAAACGCCCCTCAAATATTACAATATTTATTATTTAAAAAACGGTTAGTCTTTCGGGAAAACGATTGGACACGCATAATTTATTTTGTTTTTTTACATATTTTGAAATTTTTTAAAAAATAATACAGGGTGTTCCAAAAAGTTGAGTAATTGATTAACCACGATTCTGCTTAAACTGCTCGACGTTTAAAGCATATTTTTGGCAAATGTGAGAAAATTTTATCCAGTTTGTATGTTAATGGAAATTCTTGCTTTGCTTTATCATCACCATTACAAATTAATAATTCGATGCGAACGAAGTCGCGGGTACAACTTAACAAGTATAGCTAGAGACGTGAGAAATATAAAATAAGAGACGCCCCCCGATGCGCAGTGGACATCCCACAAATTTGCTTCAATCAGATTTTTCGTAGCGTAACTGCATCTCTCTTCCGCCGAATGCGTTCTCTCTCTATCGTGTGCGCGACCGGTGCTATCCCCAAGTCTCTTCCTATATTTGTCAAACTGTACATGCTAGTTTAAGTGTAAAATTAATTCGAACTCTAGTGTGTAGTTGGTTTACTTATGAAGAATATACTACACATTTTCTTATATTGCTATTTTTTGACCGCAAATGGTAAAATCATAACGAAGAGCTTCTCGCCCGTCGAGTGAGATGCACCCTGTACACTGCTACGCAATTCAGAATCTACGCGGATCGAGGGGTAGGGCGTAGGTAGATCGGAATTTATAGATATAGACGAGTGGCGGCATTTTGGCTTTTTTATATCGCAATTTGTAAACAGCGCTTATTTGTAAACAACCCCCGTTTTTAGAGAGGTATTTTAGATAACAATCGATATTTAGAAATGTTATGACACCCTGGAAATACTACCACCGAGCACGTCATTGTTGCAACTGCGTTAATACGCCTGGCGGTGACCGCCTCATATTCTTTCAGATATTTAGCAATAAAATAAAGAAACCTGTTATTTTTAAGCTGTTATTTTAAGCTGTTTTTTATAAATAACTATAACAGTTTCAACTGTTATCTAAAAATAACAGTTTTGCCCATCACTATATTCCAATGATACTGGCTTCGGCTTGTGCAGATGATGACAACAAATGTGATACATATATTAAGAATATAGAAAGAGCTATAAATACATCTGTGAATAAATTCACTGGCGAAAAAAACACCTGAATTATTATATGGATATATTCCGAGGATTGAAGATTTATTTGAAGATGGACAAGTGAGGTTATTGACAGTAGAGAATGAAAAGTACTTGATTACCTGAAAAATTGAGAGAAGAGGTCAAAGAACATATAGAAATGGAACAAAGGAAGTATAAAAATTTATAGGCTAGCAGACTAGCTAAAAAGAGAAGAGAAAATGTCATCTAGACGACAAGAAATAAGGAAGCAGTAAAAACGCAATAATCATAGAATGTGTATTGTGAAATATTATTTGAAATAAAACTATAAAACATGGAGTATCGACTTTATATAGATCAGGTCAACTCAATAAGAATACAGAATTTACACCAAGCAATAAAATCTTGAAAATTATAGGTATACAGTGTATACATCCAATATTGTATTATATGATATGATATTTATGTAAATATTCATGATAAAAATAAAAAGACAATTTTTTTAGTTTTAATGTATTAGTGCGAAAATTCTGTGTGACCAGTTAAAACAAGCACTTAGCTGTCTGGTCATAGTGAGAGTAAAACTACTAAGAAATCATATATTATTTAAGTATAGGAAAACAGTATTTTTAAGATAACTAATAAAAGAATATAAGGAATTACTTACAATTATGTTACATGTAAATATATAAATACTAACTTAACACTAATAGAAAAGTAAATAAAATTATTATATAGGTACTAGTTACCTTGGAACATTACTTAACATATTACATAATTACTAGATATACATATATTAATACAATAAATACCTTAATTTGCAAAATGTTGAATAAGATTTCTTCAAAAATCTAACCCTCTTCCTTTTTATTTATAATTGGAATGTGTAAACTAGCATCTTCAAAATTATCTAAATTTTCCCTTAAACCAATATTATGAAGAACAGCTGTTGCACAAATAATAGCAACAGTTGTTTTGTAAACCTCGGAGACATGGAAGACGTTTTTTCCAAGTCCAAAGAGCCTTTCAACATTTTGCGTTCTTCTATGGGCAAAGTTATACCTGGTTTCTTGTTGATCCTACCTAGCTGTAGAACAGGAGTCAATAGAAATGGCCTACATCTATATGCATTGTCTCCAAGAAGTAAACCAGGAATATCACTCCTTTCCATTAGCATTCTTAAATTACTTGGATCGAATACAACACTATCATGACTTGACCCTGGATATCCAACTATAATATTCATAATTTCCCTTTTGGGACCTGAATATTTAGACTAAAAACTTTTGCAATTTTGAAATACTTCCACATTATTGTATTATTCTTGATTATCTGGCTTATTGTACGTTGGCTAACACTACGCAAGTCTCCATTTACCATCTGAAAATTACAAGTCGCATAAAACTGTAAACAAATTAGTAATTGAATAACGGGGAGAATCGGTAAACCACGATTGGTAGGTTTTTGCAAGTCTTCAATTTATAAGAGGTAAAATAGTTTCTGTAATTGTAGCCTTGTTAAACCTATATCGGCATAAATCCCCCCTCGCTAAACATTTCTATTGGATTTCCTGCATCCTGTATATATCTTTTTGGAACTCGAAGACGATTTTCTTCTTCCATATGGTCCAAAATATCCTCAAACTCTTCTAACATATTCAAAACTGTTTAATCAGACAAAACGGATTTACAAGGGATTTCCTTTGTTTACAAAAAAATTTCATCATATTATCTCTATTGCACCTCATACAAAGGAAAATTATTCATAATATCAATACATAGTTTATTAACGTAGTTTTCATGTAGTTAATGAACTGGAAAAGACGTAGTTTTGAAGAAAAACTACACGTAGTTAATCAGGTAAATTACGTCTTAATTAACTACTTCCGAACCCTGGTCTCGAGACGCAACTATAAATACGGGCCCTAGTACTGCTTTGTACTTACCACACACGCTAGTGTCCAACTTTGACTGAAGTGCTCAATTACCTGCAACATCACAATAAAACTGCCTCCCCCAGAAGTAATGCCGAAAGGTAGTTCCTTGGGGAGATACTCAAAGCGGTTTGTGGAGGTTTTTTAGTCGGTAAGGTACCTCAACCACCCCGACAGTACCATTTACGGTCTCTGGTTTGCAGATTTTTCCCCCACGAAAAAAAAAATACCTCCACACCACCTACCAAATCTACCTACATATTTTTTAACTAGTTTGAAAAGTAATAACTTCCTCCGTATCAGTAAAACTACAGAAAATAGACACATTTTCGTCGTTTTTTACGTAAAAAAGTATCTTGCTAATAATCGCTAGGAGTAATGGTTCTTGAGATATTTTGAAGGTATTTAAAAAAATATAGGTATTAGGCTTAAATCATAAATTTGAATAATATTGTGCCAAAGATTCAACTGAAATTGTTCCACGGTATTTTTTTCTAGAAAAAAATTGATTAATTTAAAACAAATAAAAAGTTCCTAAATTTATCATTTCAGTCAAATGTCTATCTAGTTATTTTTTTTTAAATTTACATTCCAAATATCTTGAGAACGGTTACTCGTTACAATTTTTATCATGATGCCTTTTTGAAGTAAAGAACTGCGAAAGTGTATATTTTTTTACTCAGTAGTTTTATACTCATATATTTTATACAGGGAGGGACGAAAAGTGATTTCTCTTCAAACAGTTAAAAAAATATGTAGGTGGCGCCTTCTACAAGTAGGAGTCATATTGACATCGAAAGCAAGTGTGAAAAAACACCAAGATAATCTAAAATGTCCAAATATCGACGTTAGTTCAGAAATTATTTTGAAAATATCGAAATAAAAATGAAAATTCTACACGTTTTAAGGATACAAATTTATACGAATTTTTTACTTATCTTTATCTGCAAAATATGCTGCCCAAGTTTCCCGAATCCAATTCGCACCACTCTGTATATCATATTACTATTGAAAGTTATGTATTCATATTATTTTGTCTGATTTTAGGTCTGATAGAATTCTTATTAGACAGAAGTATTGAATCAGTAAAAGAATGTAAAGAAGCCAAATATGACATAGTAAAATTATTGTCACAGAGTACAGTGTTTGATCATATCACCTCAGAAAGGCTACAAACGTTTGTCAAAGAAGGTGCATTCTATGTTTATGCCACTACAGAAGTTGCTATAGAAGGAAATTAATTATTTTATAAACTGTTTAGTATTAAGGTATTATTATTATTTTGGATGTTAACATGTGATATTAAAAACCGATTTTTTGTGTGTGTTATTATTTTTTTAATTATTATTACAGAGTACCGAAAGAACCGCGAATTAATAATTTTGAGTACCGGTTCTTTGATGTCTCAAAAGAACCGGTATTTTCGGTACCGGGATTTCCTGGTTTTGAACTCCAGCTGTGACAACACTGCCGTTACCACTTTTCTCTCCCTAGCTCGTGCGTCACGGCCGTTATTCAAGGCCGTATATGTCACGAGGGAAAGTCCCTTACTCAGCCGCTGATCATCCCTGAACGCGGACATTAGCTCAAGTAGGCAAATTTTAATCATTGTTTGCTTTAGTTTTGCAATTAGTTTTTTGATTTCCTAAAAAGTAACGACAGGAAAAAATAAAGTTGGTTTTCAAAAAAATCCGCTTTTCCCAAAAAACTCAGCAATCCTTGAAATTTTTAAAACTTTTTTGATGGCATCTTGGTGAACACCCCAAGCGCAACTTTGCCCCAATTTAACCATCTTCGTATCTATTAAGCCCCGTTCTCAGAACTGCGTCGTGTCGACAGCGACACTGATTGACACTTCAAACGACCAATGGGAGCTGTACTAAATTTAAAATTGACAGCTGTTTGAATTTTGTACAAATCTCATTGGTCCTCTTGACGTGTCGCTGGCGACAGTCGCTGTTCTGAGAACGGGGCTTTAAGCCCCGTTCTCAGAACTGCGTCGTGTCGACAGCGACACTGATTGACACTTCAAACGACCAATGGGAGCTGTACTAAATTTAAAATTGACAGCTGTTTGAATTTTGTACAAATCTCATTGGTCCTCTTGACGTGTCGCTGGCGACAGTCGCTGTTCTGAGAACGGGGCTTTACGGTTTCCGAGATACCAATGCTCGTACCTCAAATTTGTAGCACCCTGTATATGTTCTTTTAAAAAAACAGAAAATAATTTCAACATTGAATTTTTCTTTATTTCAGCCCTATAAAGTAATAATTTCACTATATTATAGTTTATCTAAAAGCCACACTTAATTGATGATAGGAAAATGTCCAAAATTTTACTGAAAAACATTTTTCTTAACAAAATTTTAACAAAATAACTAATAGAAAGTAAGGGTAATAACGTTCTTTTTTTAACAAAAATAACTGAAGGAAGTTTAACAACATTTCCTTTATCCTTCTTTTTCTCTCCTATGGAATGAAGCCCCGTTCTCAGAACTGCGTCGTGTCGACAGCGACACTGATTGACATTTCAAACGACCAATGGGAGCTGTACTAAATTTAAAATTGACAGTTGTTTGAATTTTGTACAAATCTCATTGGTCCTTTTGAAGTGTCGCTGGCGACAGTCGCAGTTCTGAGAACGGGACTTGAGTCGCACTAGAGACTGGCAAATTAAATGGCAAAGAGAGGGACAACGTTCCCGTAGCGCAACTCAGAACGCATAATTTCGTTCTATTTATGTTTATCTACGCATTGCGTCTATTGGGCCGACTATCTCGTTCTAATATAACAAGAGAGAAAGAAGCAGCCATATAAAACGTAATTTCTAAATAGAAATTAGAACAATCGCCTTTCGTTTTCGTCATCATGACAACCAAGATGACAACATCATGACAATTCGTCACATATTCGTCATGTTTGTTAATTTTTCTTTTGGTAATTTACCTTTTTTTCTAAACTCTCCATTTTATTGACTTATGAATATGGATAGCGAACAATTTCCTTTGTTCCATATAGGTATTTATATTTTGTTACTTATAATTTTGCTTACCGACAATACGACGTGAGCTACGACTGACCAGGACCAATCAGAATGATCAGTCGTTCTTGGACATTTGCCGCGGAAGTGTGTGTTAATTTCTGTTGTGATAAGTGTGGTTGTGTTTGCAGTTTGATTTTTCGGTTTTTGATATTATGTTAAAATTAATTTTTGAAGTATTGTATCACCTGTTTTTATGTAATAGTACTTTTTTTAGTTCTATGATTGTTTCTATGTTATGATTTGTTAATGTTTGTTTAACAATGTTATACCAAAGAGGTTATACTTAATATACTTATCAATTTGCATAGCCTAACTTTTTTATCAATAAACTTTGTAGATTTTCAGATTATTTAATTCCTTTTGTTTCCGTTTGTAATTTTAGTTTTTAAGACATATTATGTGATTGTTTCACATAATATGTTTTCAAAAAATAAAATTGCAAATAGCGAAATAAAAATAATTAAAATAAAAAGTGTATTTTACAATTCCCCCCGGCCCCGCACCCCTTTGGCTAACCTATAATGTCAGCTATGTCGAGAGATGGCGTTACGAAAATGGAACCGATTTATTACAAAGGAACTTGGGCTTCTTTTCGTTAGTATATTCTGTGGACAACATCATGACAATTCGTCACATATTCGTCATGTTTGTTAATTTTTCTTTTGGTAATTTACCTTTTTTTCTAAACTCTCCATTTTATTGACTTATGAATATGGATAGCGAACAATTTCCTTTGTTCCATATAGGTATTTATATTTTGTTACTTATAATTTTAGGTTATACTATTTGTTATTTTATTTGCTGCAGGAGCCAGTATCATCTATTTTTTATATGTATTGGTGCCCCTTTCTCTGATAGATATATTAAAGACACCCGGTAAAATAAAAGTAAGAGTTATATTTATCATCTCTGGTAGGTGGGTGGAATAAACACTGTTGTTTTTTGTTATTATATTATAAAAAAATTATTTATTTTTATGTATAAATAAATATGATTATAAAACAGTACAATTTTTACTTTTTTTTATAATTTCCCTTCTAATAGTAGTATTCTTTTTTGAAAGAAACTGCAAATTTACACTTAAACTGATTTATTCCCTACACCATGTTCCCTTTACATCTATTATAGGTATAGGGAATAAATCAGTTTAAGTGAAAATTTTCAGTTTCAGAATGAAAGAATACTACTAATAATGGCTAATTTAAATTTCCCGCCAGCCAGAATGTGCGATAATGTCTTACGATACGTTTTATACCTATCTCTTTCTTTTTCATATAAAGCATACATAATAAAGAAAGATAGCAATAAAGAAGTATGTCCTGCTAATTGGTTTCAAAATTGTTATTCTGAGTTGCGCTACGGGAACGCGGTCCCACTCTTTACCATGGAATTTGTCAGTCTTTTTTTATTTGTTTGTCTATGGTCGCACTAGCAAGAATTTACTTTGGAACTTTCGTAATCCCAGAGGGAGCGAAAAAAACCGGCTAAATTTAGGTTTAGCATGGCAACGTTGCTTTAAATGTCAGAAACACTCGTGAGGTGTAATAGAGATAATATGATGTAAATATTATATTTAAAGCCATATTTCTCCTGTTTTCTTAAATACATTATGTGTTTTTAAAGCTTCAACTTATTATAACCTCACCTCAAACCTTTGACATTTGAAAGTTACATACATAGGTTACATAAACTACACCCTCTACATAAACTACATTAACTACATGTTATGTAGTTTATGTAGTTTTTAAAAGTAACATGTAGTTTTCCGAACCCTGCTTATAGATTACCACCTATATACAAAATGACAGGAAGACCTGGAATATGGCGCCCAACTTGATTAGACCTTCCGCGCATGTTGAAGCTCATTCTCTATCCCTTCTATTTCTCTGGTATATTCTGTGAAAGTAGGAATGTGTGATTCTGTAAAAGAATCGATTTTTTGGATCGATCTAGATCGAATACTCGCGAATCCATACAAGAAAAATCTCAAGCTAAAAAATCGATCTTGGTGAGTATCGATCTTTTTTTTAATTCAATTTTAAGACTCTAATTTTCCATTTTTGCAATAAATTATAAATATAGATTTCTATTTTTATGACTGTTTTTACACACAAAGACACAAAACATAAAACAAAATAAAGTATAATTCTGAATAATACAACAGCAAGCAAAATTACTTTTGGTAACAGTGTAACGTAAAAATGGCCGCGGTTGAGTGCAAAATAATTTCTCTTTTTATTACGTAATTAATGATATCTTCTGAAATTGAGGATAAAATTCGGGTTGTATGGCGATTCGATCTCAATCTAAAAGAATCGATTCCATAAATAATCGGTTTTACATTAATCGATTCAAAAAATCGGGAATCGCATGTCAAAAGATCCATTTTATGAAGAATCGATTTAAATCGAACATCCCTAGTTCTGTGAGAAACATAAACACATAACCCGACATTTTCAGATTGTTTACAAATTAATTTTAACTTTTAGCAAATTTTCCTCTATTATGCATAGAATTGGTTGATAACGTAACAGAAAATAGCAAAAACCTGATTGTTAATTCAATGTTGAAATAATTATTCGTTTTTCTGAAAAACGGTAAGAGACCGTCAGAAAAATAGTTCAGATTCGTAATCTAGGACTTCAAAATAGGGTGTCTACCAATATTGGTGCAAATGGGAACTATTTTTAGTTTTTCCAATAATTACCTCAAGTAATTTTGATTTTTATGTACAGATTATAAATATGTCCGCTACACAACCCAAAGAAAAATCGGCTGTTCGAACTCTCCAGCTGTTGTTTGATGTGAGATTATGTCCATTTTGTCATTTAAGAATTAATAAAACATATTATAGACATCACATGAGAACCCATGTACGTCATCGTGTAAGGAATCTGCTTCCATCATCAAAGAGAAGTAGTTTACCGAAAATAGAATTCAAATGTGAAATTTGCGATTTTCATTCCTTTCATCGTTATATAATATGTTATCACTATGAACAAGAGCATGAGTTGATCTGCAGATTTGAAGAGGATCCAGACTATGAGCAATTCTTGAACGGTACTCCATATACTTTAGAGAACCCAAATTGGAAACCAGATGGTATTGAAGATAAAAGTGAAAAACCCTTAGAGAAACAGATAGATATAGAGGAACCCTACGACTTTTAATTAACATTAGTTAGGTTAGAAATGAGCTAAATGTGTGATTCGTAAGAAAAATAGGAGTATCTATGTTAGTAGCATATTTGTTATTTTATATGCAACACCCAGTTAATATTACATTACTGTAAATATTTTTAATTTTCACAATTTTTTTATTATACTTTTCTATATCTATTCTTTTGCCTAATCACATTAATTATGAAAGAATTACTATACTATATTCTTAAGAATATTCAAAGTACCATATGATCGAAAAAAAAACGGCGCCCAGTTGGCTTGGAAATGACAATCGATGACATTTCCCATATAATCTATATTAATATATAAAATCCTTAAGTAACTGACTCACTGATTAATCATGATCCTGCTCAAACCACTCAATTGCTGTCCTCCATTCGCGAACTTTGAGTTCTGGGCTTTACGCCCTGGGGCTACTCGAGAACGATTCTGAAAGGAGCGGTGCGCGATAGCCTGGTGCCTCCATATGGCGCGGAACAGTTCTGGAGCTTTATGACTCAATTGAATGGAGTGAGAGTATCGCGTTCTTGAACAATTCAGAGCTGCTCAACTGCGTGAAAGGAGGACAGCAAATGTAAGAAGCTCAATTTTGGCATACAGGTTGATTCTAGGATGTAGAGGTTCGATAAAAAGGGATTTTTCTAAATTCCAGTTCCAAGGGGGTGAAACCACCCCTCAAAATATTACAATATTTTTTATTTAAAAAACGGTCAAGTTTCCAAAAAACGCTTAAACACGTATATTTTATTTTGTTTTTTACATATTTTAAGATTTTTTAAAAATGTATACATGGTGTTTCGAAAAATCTAGTCATTGATTAATCACGATCCTGCTTAAAGCGCTTGACGTAAAAAGTTGATTTTTGGAAAACGGATTGACTTTAGGGTATAGAGGTTCTATAAGAAGGGATTTTTCGAAACTCGAATTCTAAGGTGGTGAAACCACCCCTCACATATTAGAATATTTTTTATTTAAAAACCGGTGAGTTTTTCGGAAAAAACACGCAGGGACGCGCCGTCCATATGGTCAAAGTCGTGCGGCGCACGACGGCGCCAAAGCCCCAAAGGCGCCTGCGGTCACTGAATTTAAAAAATAATAAAACCATTTTTTAGAATTTATCAACAAATTAACATAAAATTTAAATAATACATATCTATGAACACCAGTGGTGAAAATATATATATCGGGGTCCGCGACCAGTGGTGAAATTCTACGACTCCCCGGGTTCATTCGGCGCGCCTGTCGCGGCGTTCCAGGAGAAAAATTATTTTTCTTGTTTGTTGCTATGTGTCTGTTTTTGTTTTGTTTTATTATGTTATGTTTTGTTATAATAGAATACTTTCGTATTCTACTAATAAGTTAAATGTTTTGTTTACTTCTTGTTTGTCACAAGTAGGTAAATAATATAATTTAATACTAAAAAGTATAGTTTTCTTCAAAAATTTCAACGATCAACTATGAGAGAAGAGTGCAAAATTTGGCTTAATATTATAATATTGGAGAAAGGCGCCTACCCTTATTTCGCACGACGGAGCCGAAAATACTTGGCGCGTCCCTGTAAACACGTATATTTTATTTTGTTGTTTTACATATTTAAGATTTTTTAAAAATTTATACAGGGTGTTTCATAAAACATGACCATTGAGTAATCACGATTCTGCTTAAGCTTGATTTTCATGCATCCGTTATATGTATGTTGATACGTTGGTCCGACGGTGCTCTGATTGGTCATAGCGTTTTCGCGCCACTTTTCATCCGTAAATATTTTACTTCAACCCGTTAACGGACCCGTTCATACGATAACGGACGTTTTGACACTTTTTGACAAATTTAATCTAACCTTAATAAAAATATAAGTAAAATAGCAAAATCGTTATGGAAACGAAAATATAAAATAACACCAACGTATATCCGATAAACGGAGGCATGAAAATGCAGTAAATTTAAAAACTGCGTTATTTTCTAACCAATCAAAGGCTTTAAATTCTACCAATAAAATTAATATCTTATCAACGTATATCGTCGGACAACGGATGCATGAAAATCAAGCTTTAAACTGCTTGACGTTTAAAGCTGATTTTTGGCAAACGGATTGACTGTAGGGTGTAGAGGTTCGATAAGGGGTTTTCGATCTCGATTGTTTTTTCTCATGCTGACATTAATGTGAGAACATTTTATTCAGTTTGTATGTTAATGGAAATTCTTGCTTTGCTTTATTATTACCATTACAAATGATTAATTCGACGCGAACGAAGTCGCGAGTACCCGCTAGTTTTACGTATAAAATGACAGCGATCTTCATTTCATAGCCATCGCTGACGCCGGTTTTATTCGATTATACGGTATTTAAATATGGTAGTAAATAATTTGTCTGAGAAAGTCTACTTTGTAATAAATCATTAGTTACTTTAAATTCTTAAATTATTTAAAAGTTAGTAATAAAGAACAAGAATTAAGTCAATTATATAATTCTTTAATAAACTTCTATATTTTATATTCAACAATAATCATTTTAAATGTACCTTTTCTCTGATTTTAATTTTTAATTTATGGATACTGTCACCAGGGCACATAAAACAATCGGCACGCCAACTCTACTCAGATTCCATTGTTTAAAATTTCTATAAAATTTGACCTTGTCGGCGCCATTATGGTTTCCTAGTCAGGGCCGGATTAAAACGTATTAAAAAATTTCTCAGAAAATACGATAGGGTCGTATTAAAAAAATACTGTAATTGACTGAAACTAAATTTTATTTACAATACTTTTTGTCCAAACAAATGAATCGTTAACCGCGCATACTTCTCGAAAATTAAAAATGAAAAGATCAATTAAATATTTCACTGTAGAGAATAGACAATTAAAATTAAAAAACATGCAACTAACAAAAACATGCCAGGAGTTACAAACAAGAATTAAAAAAATACCAATAAAATATTTATTGAACAATATAAAGAGGCTACGTACAAATTATGCCCATCAAGGGGCGTAGCAAATTTTATTAATATTCAAATTTCACAAATTAATAAATCCACAATTTTTTTGAGAAACTTCTATTTTTTTCATGGCAGGAAACAAAGTAGGTACCGCATTGTATTTTATACGGTTACAAAGTGAATTGGTAAACATTTTAAATTCAAAGTGAACAGAACACAACCTGTACCTTTTCTGGGCCTTATTTATATTTTCAACCAAGTCTTCTCTATTAGATGCAATTGCCCATGTTCTTGCCCTAAAAATGTATTGTTAACTTGTTACTAATCTATTGTTATTTTCGATATACTCATTTTATTTATTTTTATAATTTTATTTAATAATTATTAATATAATTATTTTTGAATTTAATGTTGAATGTCTAGATACAACATTAAATTTTACTAAATATTTAACATTTTAATTTTGCTAATATTTTATATACATATAGGGTGAGTCTTGAATAAGTGCAAATATTTTCAGAGGTGGTATATTTCGACCCCAGGAACACGTTTATGAGTTTTTTTTCGCTAAAAAAAGATATTGAAAATCGTGCATTTTCTTTTAACTTCCCTGTATATTTTTCGAAAACTTTTTAGAACTGCCTGTTCACCGCAAATTTTTCCACGGTATAATTTCTTAATCTCTGATATTACCATAGTTCCGGCTTTACTCTATGGTTGCGGCACTAAAAGGGATGCAAATACAGAAAAAAATCCGGTGGCTCTCAACAGTCTCAACTCAACATTTAAAAAAAACATTTTTTTTTAAACTTAAATAACTCGGTTATTTTGGATTTATCTGAAAAAGTAAGGAGAAAATATGTTTCTTTTATCGAGATCTGCCAGCCCTGAAAATATTTGCACTTATGTAAGACTCACCCTGTATGTAAGTTTGTTAACATTTAATATAGATGCTGAACTTGTATATTTTTAATTAGATCTTTCTATTTAGCTGAATGTCCTAATATGTATACTACTGTTTTTTTAACTAAAATATGTTAGAAATAATTAATCACATAATAACATGGTTCACATACCTAATCGGATCTCACAGAAACAGAAAAAAAAAACTTTTATTGGTTTGATCCTCTACCTCGGGCAGTTTTGCTGCACAACTTCACTTAGGCATTTTAAAACACGTAAAGTAACGATTTAAAAGTATTCCAGAAAAACAAAAATAAATTATATAACACAAGAAGCGAAATAAACTAGAAAAACCAAAGTAACATAACACAATAAACAAAAATAAAACAACAACTATAAAATATAACTCAAAAAATAAAACAAAATAGGTGAAATCGTACGCTACTGGCTCGAATCGGCCCGAAAGTGTGCGCAGTCGATGAAAAGCTACGACACTGAAGTTACTTTCTGATGATGGAAACCAGAAAATAGAAGGGATAGAGAGAATGAGCGTCAACATGCGCAGAAGGTCTAATCAAGGATTGGGCGCCATATTCAGGTCTTCATGCATTTTGTATATAGGTGGTAATCTATAGAAATGATAAAATATCAATTTGCTGTTTTCCGGCCATACAGGGGGGCAATTTAAATTTAGTGAAATTCTATCATTCATTATGGTTAGTTAACATTAATATGATTTATTTAATTATCAGTTTCAAAACTGCGTACAATATTGGTATATAATACACTAAATATACGAATATTCTGACAAAAGACGCTACGGACAGATGACCTTTTCGTCGTAAAACACTCGAAATGATATTAAATAAGTATTTACAATATTTCATGTTTACTTGTACTGAATTACGCGTTTCAATTTAAAATTTTTGCAAATTTGGTAAAAATTGTTCTAAACAACTTTTTGTTCAAGTTGTATATTCATAAAAAACATTTGGTTCATAATTATTTTTGATGATTACCTACCTTGTATTTTTAATATAAACCTAGAAAAAATATGTTTTTGTTTTATTTTTTTTATTCGTCCCTTCAAATTATGTTTCAAAAACTGTTACATAACATGTCCTCTAACAAATATTTTCATAATACATAAACATCATTGATTTTATTAAGGGTATTATTATTAGTATTTATCCTGGTTTTTGTCGACAATAAAAACTCAATCTTGTAATAGAACATCAATTTTATATTTCGTAAAATTATTTTGATACAAATTCGATTTGTCAAAATTCAAGTCATTAATATATTGATAAACAACCCAAATTATTCCTAAATATTTTATTATAAACAAAAACTGTTACCGGTAAGTTTGTAAAACACATTATGGTTTGTCGTAATACTAGAAAAAATCATTTATTTTTTGCACAAAAGAAGCTTGTCGATCCTTATTTGTCCATAACAAAATTCTGTATGTACAACATACA